CCGAACTGATTCCCAAGCCATCCAATATGCTATAAGGTGTGTCGGTTATTTCCATTTATATTTTATTGTTATACATTCAATGATGAGTTGTGGTGCAGGTGAAGTTTTCAAAGGTCCACATTGGTGGAGAGGCTTTAGTTGGGGTGGGGCGGGAGGGAACACCTCATTGATTCAAAGCAACAGCCCTTGTGTGGTCAACTCTCGTGCTTCTTCTTTTCTAGCGCTGTCTCAGTGATCATTTTTCTCCAGTCATCGGTACCTGGCCCGGTAGCATTCAGGATTCAGGCTCTGATCCTAAACGCAAAGTCGGCCAAACCGACGCTTGCGTCCGTATGAGTACGGAGAGAGATCAGCAGGTTACACATTTGTGCGTTGCATGCGAAGACCGGGAGAAACCTGAAATTAAACCCTAAACCCTCAGCGTCTTGATCCCGCAAAATCTGGGCCTGGCTGTTTAGGCCTAGGAAGACTCTTCCCCCTCCCTTCCCCCAACCCCCAAACTCAAATCTAAGAACAGCCCGACGCAAAACTCTCAAAGCCAATGCTCGGCGGCTCCGCCCATCTCGTCTGCCGGCGGAGGTGCAGCACGATACGGAGTACAGCAGATACCTGTTCAGCTTAGGTTTTCAGAGTTTCAGGGACGTTGGGTGCAAAGCCTAAACCCTAAAGCCCTAAACCCCGAAAAGGCAAGCCCTGAAGTGGACAACCAAAGCCCTTAACCCTTAACCCCAACTCCCCAAGTCACCCTCCACCCTAAACCCAAGTCCTGACGTGCCTGCCCCAGCTGGGCCGCTCGTTGTTCTGCCTGCGGGCGTGGGGCACAACAACTCAGGTTTGCCATTTTGATTTTGAACATGACTCCCTCTCAGACTGCAGTTACTTTGGGTTTCCAGAAGTTCGGGCTTTTGGGGTTTTAGGGTTTTGGGGGTTGAGCCGTTGGCTCGGCTCAGGAGTACTGGGTCCAAGTGTAGTGTTTGTATTCGACATCTGGAGCAACAGGGATCTTATAGAACTTCGGGTCTCGGACGAGACTTCATGAAGCCGGTTCATCTTTTCAGGACTCCTCCTAAAGCCGAAATCCTAGACCCTAAGCCCTTCGTAAGATTTCAGAAAGCCCAAGCCCCGTTGCTTTTCAAACTCAAAAAGCCCTAAACCGCAGAACTGCGAAAGGCTTCCGTTCCAAGGTCTGTGGGTCACCTTGGAAACCTAAACCCTACACCCTAAACCCGTCTCCCTTAACAACCCGAAACAGACCCAAACATCCCTAAGCCCTATACCCAACCGAACCTCTCCCCCCCTCTAACCCTAAACCCTAAACCCTGAACCCTGAAACCTAAACCCTAAACCCTAAACCCTAAACCCTAAATTTTAGAGCTGCGCTAACTGCGCCAGTGAAGGTGGGATCTTTTTGGCTTGTCCCGAATTCTTTCTCCTTTCACTTTTCTTCAATTTACTTAAACCTCTTTTAGGTCCATAGGTTCAATTTACTTAAGCTCCCTAAACCCTAAACCCTAAACCCTAAACCCTAAACCCTGAACCCTGAACCCTAAACCCTAAACCCTAAACCCTAAACCCTAAACCCTAAACCCTAAACCCTAAAACCTAAACCCTACACCCTAAACCCTAAACCCTAAACCCTAAACCCTAAACCCAAAACCCAAAACCCAAAACCCAAAACCCTAAACCCTAAACCCTAAACCCTAAACCCTAAACCCTAAACCCTAAACCCTAAACCTCTCTTTCATATATAATTTAAATGTTAAGGGGTTACTGGGCAAGGTCATTTTTTTACTGGGCAAGGTCATTTTTTTACTGGGCAAGGTCATTTTTTTACTGGGCAAGGTCATTTTTTTACTGGGCAAGGTCGTTTCGTCAAAAAAACGACCTTGCCCAGCAAAAAAATGACTTTGCCCAGTAAAAAAATGACCTTGCCCAGTAAAAATGTTACTGGGCAAGGTCATCTTTTTTACTGGGCAAGGTCATCTTTTTACTGGGCAAGGTCATCTTTTTACTGGGCAAGGTCATCTTTTTACTGGGCAAGGTCATTTTTTTACTGGGCAAGGTCATTTTTTTACTGGGCAAGGTCATTTTTTTACTGGGCAAGGTCATTACTGGGCAAGGTCATTTTTTTACTGGGCAAGGTCATTTTTTACTGGGCAAGGTCATTTTTTTACTGGGCAAGGTCATTTTTTTACTGGGCAAGGTCATTTTTTTACTGGGCAAGGTCATTTTTTTTACTGGGCAAGGTCATTACTGGGCAAGGTCATTTTTTTACTGGGCAAGGTCATTTTTTTACTGGCAAGGTCATTTTTTTACTGGGCTATTTCATTTTTTACTGGGCTAGGTCACTTTTCACTGGGCAAGGTCGTTTCGTCCAAAGGTGTTTAGGATTTCCGGGCCTAATGGTTAGGGTTTCAAGGTCTCACGGCCTGGTGTTTAGGGTTTCAGGGCCTCAAGGCCTGCTGTTTAGGGTTTCACGGCCTCACGGCCTAGTATTTAGGTTTCAGGGTTTCAGGGCCTCAAGGCCTAGTGTTTAGGGTTTCAGGGCCTCAAGGCCTGGTGTTTAGGGTTTCAAGGCCTCAAGGCCGGGTGTGGCTTGTGTTAAGTGCTTGGTACTACGGCGTGATTGGTGCATCCGAAGAGAAAATAAGTAACCTTCTATTTTCTTAATGTTATGGGATTCTTTGGGCGGGTGGGTTTTTTCCGTTGCCTAGATACACGGCTGGCCTAGTAAATGCTCGAACTTGAGATGCTGAACCCTAAACCCTAAACCCTGAACCCTAAACCCCAAATCCGCACATCTCGACCTTCGGAAGGAGAGTCCGCAGCTCTGGTAACCCCCACACCTCAGGATCCCTCCCTGAAGGAGCCCAGACGCTGTAGGGGACCCTAAACCCTAAACCCTAAACCCTAAACCCTAAACCCTAAACCCTAAACCCTAAACCCTAAACCCTAAACCCTAAACCCTAAACCCTAAACCCTAGGCCTAAAAGCCTAGGCCCAAAACCCTTAGGCCCAAACCCCTTCAGCCCAAAACCCTTACACCCAAAACCCTAGGCCCAAAACCCTAGGCCCAAAACCCTAGGCCCAAAACCCTAGACCCAAAACCCTAGGCCCAAAACCCTAGGCCCAAAACCCTAGGCCCAAAACCCTAGGCCCAAAACCCTAACCCTAGGCCCAAAACCCTAGGCCCAAAACCCTAGGCCCAAAACCCTAACCCTAGGCCCAAAACCCTGGCCCAAAACCCTAGGCCCAAAATCCTAGGCCCAAAACCCTAGGCCCAACACCCTAGGCCCAAAACCCGAGGTCCAAAACCCTAGGCCCAAAACCCTAGGCCCAAAACCCTAGGCCCAAAACCCTAGGCCCAAAACCCTAGGCCCAAAACCCTAGGCCCAAAACCCTAGGCCCAAAACCCTCCCCGCTCCCCCACTCCCGTTGTTCTTGTCGTAAAATATGTTTTATAGCGCTATTTAGGGTTTAGGGTTTAGGGTTTAGGGTTTAGGGTTTTGGGTTTTGGGTTTCGGGTTTAGGGTTTAGGGTTTAGGGTTTAGGGTTTTGGGCCTAGGGTTTTGGGCCTAGGGTTTTGGGCCTGGTTTTGGGCCTGTGGGGGATTCGGGGATTGGGGGAGTGGGGGAGTGGGGGAGTGGGGGGGGAGTGGGGATGGGGGTGGGGGCGGGGGAGTGGGGGAAGTGGGGGGGTGGGGGTGGGTGTGGGGGAGTGGGGGAGTGGGGGGGAGTGAGGGAGGGGGTGATGTGCGTGGGGCTTGGGGGGGGGGGGGGGATGTGGGGGGGGGGATGTGGGGGCTGTGGGGGGGGGGATGTGGGGGGGGAGTGGGGGCGGGCTGTGGGGGAGGGCTGTGGGGGCGGGTGTGGGGGAGATGATGTGGGGAGATGTGGGGCCGGATGTGGGGGAGATGTGGGGGAGATGTGGGGGAGATGTGGGGGAGATGTGGGGGAGATGTGGGGGAGATGTGGGGGAGATGTGGGGGAGATGTGGGGGAGATGTGGGGGAGATGTGGGGGAGATGTGGGGGAGATGTGGGGGAGATGTGGGGGAGATGTGGGGGAGATGAGGGGGAGATGTGGGGGAGATGTGGGGGAGATGTGGGGGAGATGTGGGGGAGATGTGGGGGAGATGTGGGGGAGATGTGGGGGAGATGTGGGGGAGATGTGGGGGGGATGTGGGGGAGATGTGGGGGAGATGTGGGGGAGATGTGGGGGAGATGTGGGGGAGATGTGGGGGAGATGTGGGGGAGATGTGGGGGAGATGTGGGGGAGATGTGGGGGAGATGTGGGGGAGATGTGGGGGAGATGTGGGGGAGATGTGGGGGAGATGTGGAGGAGATGTGGGGGAGATGTGGGGGAGATGTGGGGGAGAGTGGGGGGGAGTGGGGGGGAGTGGGGGAGAGTGGGGGGGAGTGGGTTGGAGTGGGGGGGAGTGTGGGGGAGTGGTTTGGAGAACCCCAACTCCCCCGCACCCCCACTCCCCCACTCCCCCACTCCCGCCGATCGGAGCCTGCAGGGTTTCCCCAAACCCTTCGGAGCCTGAAGGGTTTCCCCAAACCCTTCGGAGCCTGAAGGGTTTCTCCAAACCCTTCGGAGCCTGAAGGGTTTCTCCAAACCCTTCGGAGCCTGAAGGGTTTCCCCAAACCCTTCGGAGCCTGAAGGGTTTCCCCAAACCCTTCGGAGCCTGAAGGGTTTCCCCAAACCCTTCGGAGCCTGAAGGGTTTCCCCAAACCCTTCGGAGCCTGAAGGGTTGTCCCAAACCCTTCGGAGCCTGCAGGGTTTCCCCAAACCCTTCGGAGCCTGATCCCCAAACCCTTCGGAGCCTGAAGGGTTTCCCCAAACCTTTCGGAGCCTGAAGGGTTTCCCCAAACCCTTCGGAGCCTGAAGGGTTTCGAGCCAAACCCTTCGGAGCCTGGGTTTCCCCCAAACCCCCCACTCCCCCCCACTCCCCCGCGGCGTCTAGTTGGGGGAGTGGGAGATTGGGGGGAGTGGGGGAGCGCAGAAGCAGGATACAGTGCGTGAAAAGTGCTGGAAGTGGTCCAGGTTGGGGGTTTCGAGCCCGAAACCTGGACTTGGGCCAGAAGAGGGCAAGGGAGTGGGGGATGGGGGAGAGTGGTAGCACGTCGTGACACATTGGGGAAGTGGGGGGGGGAGTGAGGGAGCTGAGAGCGGAGGGAGTGGGGGAGTGGGGGAGTGGGGGAGTGGGGGAGTGGGGGAGTGGGGGAGTGGGGGAGTGGGGGAGTGGGGGAGTGGGGGAGTGGGGGAGTGGGGGAGTGGGGGAGTGGGGGAGTGGGGGAGTGGGGGAGTGGGGGAGTGGGGGAGTGTTTGGTTTTGGGATTTTTCATGTTCATTGGGTTTTGGGTTTTGTTTTCAGGAACAACACACAAGGAGCAGACATCACCCTCTCCCCCGAACTTGCTATCCAGGTCCCCAAACAAACCACTTCTTGCGGCATCAGCTTCAGACTCAACATCAGACAACATACCCACACCCGCTTCGAAAGCAGAAGCATGGCTCCAGGTTTTGCTTATCGGGGGGTGACGTGCTTGTTCAACTACTGTTTGGGGACCGAGCATGTTTAACCAGAAACCTGCTTTTTGGAGACCGAGCGTGTTTAACTAGCATCCTGCCTTTTGGGGACCGAGAGTACTCAACTAGCATCCTGCCTTTTTGGGGACCGAGCGTGTTCAACTAGCATCCTGCTTTTTGGTGAGCGCGGGAGTGGGGGAGTGGGGGAGTGGGGGAGTGGGGGAGTGGGGGAGTGGGGGAGTGGGGGAGTGGGGGAGTGGGGGAGTGGGGGAGTGGGGGAGTGGGGGAGTGGGGGAGTGGGGGAGTGGGGGAGTGGGGGAGTGGGGGAGTGGGGGAGTGGGGGGAGTGGGGGAGTGGGGGAGTGGGGGAGTGGGAGAGTGTTTCGGGTCAAAATTGCAAAAAAAACACCAAAAAAGGCCAAAATCAGCACGATACAACCTATTTCAAACGATCTAAATGTTGAAGGACAACCCCACATGATGACATCTAATGGACATCTAAACAACATGATGACATCTGCAACCCCTTAAAGAATGACATCTGCAACCACCTTAAAGAATGACATCTGCACCACCTTAAAGAATGACATCTGCACCACCTTGAGAGTAGGGGAGTGAGGGAGTGGGGGAGTGAGGGGGTGGGGGAGTGGGGGAGTGAGGGAGTGGGAGAGTGAGGGAGTGGGGGAGTGGGGGAGTGGCGTGAGTGAGGAGTGTGGAAGGGAATGGGGGGGAGCAGTGGGGAGGTGTGGGGGAGTGAGAGAGTGGGGAAGTGAGGGAGTTATGGTCGAAGGTTGACATCTAGGGGGGAGCAGTGGGGAGGTGTGGGGGAGTGAGGGAGTGGGGGAGTGGGGGAGTTAGTGTCGAAGGTTGACATCTAAAGGACATCTAAGGGACATCTAAAGGACATCTAAAGGACATCTAAAGAACATCTAAAGAACATCTAAACGGCAGAGGATGACATCTGCACCACCTTATCGAATGGATACACCCTAGTGTGTTTTTTCTCGCGTTATCAAAAGACACTTTCCGAATAATGCTCTAGGCGCCACCTTCACTGGCGAACCCTAAACCCTAAACCCTAAACCCTAAACCCTAAACCCTAAACCCTAAACCCTAAACCCTAAACCCTAACCCGGAAGGCCCCCCTCTCCATCTCTGAAGGCCCCCGCTCCACAGATGAAAGTGACCCTAAACCCTAAACCCGAAGCCCTGAGATCCCGAAACCCGAAACCAGAAACCCTAAACCCTAAACCCTAAACCCTAAACCCTAAACCCTAAACCCTAAACCCTAAACCCTAAACCCTAAACCCTAAACCCTAAACCCTACCCCTCCTCTCCCTCTCTGAAGGCCCCCACTCCACAGATGGAAGCGGCTCAATCGATGCCGGCACCGTGGCCTGCCAGCGCCATTGGGCCAAGAGATCGAAGAGCCCGAGAGGGTTTAGGGTTTAGGGTTTAGGGTTTAGGGTTTAGGGTTTAGGGTTTAGGGTTTAGGGTTTAGGGTTTAGGGTTTAGGGTTTAGGGTTTAGCAAGATGTTGACAAAACCTGTTTTGCCGGGGGGCTTAGGGTCGCTTTGGGTTTGTGGGGGGAGAGGAGGGGACTGGGCTAGCCAAAGGTGGGGTAGAATCAGATCGCTTGGGTGCCGAAAAGTTGTGACCGACCTTAGAGGGGCGTCTGCAACAGTTAGAACACAGGTATTTCTCGGGCAAATGTACACTGCAACCGTATGGGGGATGGTTTTTTAAGGCAGGAAAAAATATGGGCTGCTGTGTCGGAAACTCAAACCCTAGGCCCTCACAAGCCTTGGGATTGCATGGCCGGCCCTTAGAAAGGATGCCTAAACCCTAGGGTTTAGGGTTTAGGGTTTAGGGTTTAGGGTTTAGGGTCTTCCCCCTAAACCCTGAACCCTAAACTTCCCTGAACTCCCTCAACATGTGAGGACTCAGGATCCCACCATCTCATCATATGAGACCCTAAGCCCGAGAAGCGGAAAACACGACTCCGCAAGGCTCCTGCAAGAGTTTAGGGTTTAGGGTTATGATTTAGGGGGTTTAGGGAACGCTAAGCCTTGCGCACCCTAGGATGGCTGCACCCAACGGTTTGCGCAGAAGTTCAAAGGGAGAGTCCCGTCGGCACCTCTTGGCAAGGCTTTTCTGCCCGAGGTTTAGGGACTCTCCATGGAGGTCCACACGTGGGCTGTGCCGAAACCCTGCGAACTGAGGCCCGAAACCCTAAAACCCTAACTACTAAATCCCTAAAACCCTAAAACCCTAAACCCTAGCACCCTAACACCCTAAAACCCCAAAGGCTGAGGCAGTTGCGATGTAGAACTTGGTGCGCTAGAGCCTGAAGCCCTAAAACCTGAACCCGGGTGCGTTTAGGGCTCGGGAAGGCGAAGTGACCCTAAACCCTAACCCCAAATTTCAGAACCTCTAGGGCAAAACTTGGTCTTAGGGGGCCCAGTTGACAGAACCTTTTGGGGGAACCCTTTCGGGTACAACCTTAGGGGAAGCCGCAAGACTAGCCTCCTTGATGACCTTAAGCCGTTTCCAGAAGGTGTGTTGAGGGTTTAGGGTTTAGGGTTTAGGGTTTAGGGTTTAGGGTTTAGGGTTTAGGGTTTAGGGTTTAGGGTTTAGGGTTTAGGGTTTAGGGTTTAGGGTTTAGGGTTTAGGGTTTAGGGGCATCAAATGCAGGGCTTCTCCTAACAGCAACTCACCTCGCTGTGCACTCAAAAGTGGCGCGTGGTGCGTTCAGAAGGTGAGACGGACGTGGCGGCACCGGAAGCAGCCCCTAAATCCAAGCCTCAAAAGGAAGACCTCCCAGCCAAATAGGCACCTAAACCCTAAACCCTAAACCCTAAACCCTAAACCCTAAACCCTAAACCCTAAACCCTAAACCCTAAACCCTAAACCCTAAACCCGACAAAAACCCTAAACTCTAAACCCGACAAAAACCCTAAACCCTAAACCCCAGAATGCCCAAAACCAAAGGTCTGCACGCGAATGAAAGGAGACGTCGGTGACTTCGCACCGGCGCCTGAGTTTTGGCCACCGTCCCTTTCAGCACTCGATGCCATCCTGTACACGCTGCGCGATCTCCTGCCGATGTTTAGGGTCTGGGGGCTGCTACTCGGGGGGTTTGGCCCTAAACCCAAAACCCTAAACCCTAAACCCTGAACCCTAAACCCTACAACCCTAACCAACCCTTCAATGAGGGGGATGTCGATGATAGCAGCTGCGACATAGCGAGGGGGGGGGGGATCCTGCAGGAACTCGTCGTAGTCCTTGGCGCACGAGGGCTGTGGGTTTAGGGTTTTTAGGGTTTAGGGTTTAGGGTTTAGGGTTTAGGGTCTTTAGGGTTGAGGGTCCTAGGGTGGCTGGCTTTGTTCCCCTAAGCCCAAGACAAAACCCACTGAGGAAAGGAAGGCTTCGAGCTTCCGGAAGACCCAAAACCTAGTTGGGATCTTCCCGCTTTATACTAAAACAGTCCTTCATCGGGATTTTGTATACCCGATGATCATCGCCATTTTAAGGATTAATCTCCATACTCCATGCAAACGGCCTGAAAGACCTGGGAGCCTTTGGAGAGCTTCTGAGGGTTTTCAGGCGAGATCATGGGCCCTGAAAGCGCCAACGCCACGTTGTAGGGTGCAGGGTTTGGGGTTTAGGGTTGAGGGTTAGGGGTTAGGGTTTAAGGTTCAGGGCTTCGGACACGGAGGGCTTCGGGAATGACTTCTCTGGTGCCAGATCGCGATGACGCCGTCTCTCTTCGTGTCGATCTCCTGGGCCAGGGGGTTTAGGGTTTAGGGTTTAGGATATAGGGTTTAAGGTTTGGGGTTCAGGGTTAAGTTTCGAGTTCAGAGGGTGTAGATGGTTTGGAGGTTAGGATCTTTGGACCCTCTCGGCCTCACCCTCAAGCAACTACATTCTCTAACATAGGGGTACCCTTCTTGGGGGGGTCCCTTTAGAAAGGGGTATCCTATTTTGGGAAACAGCCACTTAGGACTTATGGATTTCGAGACTTAGGGCTGCAGGATCTAAGGGTTCGGCTCTGAGCCGTGCATAGCGCCCGTGTGAGACAGCTTTGTGGCCTTACTCTCTGACATCACAGCAGCTAAACCCCCAAACCTTCGACCCGAAGGCAAAAATCCCTACTATGGGTATTTGGGGGGGGGGGGGGGGGGGGGGGGGGGGGCGGTGGGTGTCTTCATGGGAAGACTCTTCGTATTTATTCCGACCCCTAAACCGTAACTCCTAGGATGATCCCCACATGCCACGAGGGATCCACCATCGGAAGCCAACGCTTTCAGGGCTAAGGGGTTTCAAGGTTTCATGCAGCCCAACACCATTGAATCCTATCCCCTATTTAAACCTCAGGGTTTAGGGTTTAGGGCTTAGGGCCCCCGTATCAGGAATCTTTGTAGGAGTATGTCTTGTTTGTATCTTCACCTAAGGCCCCCGGCAAACTACACACTCAACCCTACGTACCCATGGGCCGCCTTGAAGGTCTCATCCAAGTCTTCGTGTTCGTTGGCAGGCGGCTGCTTGATGGCCTCCGAGTGAGTTGAGGGGCTTGGGATTACATAAGACCAGGACTGTTCTTGAAAAGCCGTGATTGCAAAGCGTCATCAGCCTCATGCCTCGTATCGCGACAAGGCTGACAGGCTCTTGAACGAGCGTCACCAACACCAATGCGTATATGAAGTAGGGTATATACTTCTTGTACCCCCCAAAAGGACACCAGGTATATACACTCACGAATATCAGAAAGGAACCTTGTATACACTCACCAAAAACAGAAATATATACCCTGTGTCATATTCAGTGTTAAGGGCCCCTGGCCTGATCCATTGCCGTGGGCGCGGGAAGCCAAAGCTCTCAAGAGCTAAACCCTAAACCCTAAACCCTAAAGCCTAAACCCTAAACCCTACACCCTAAACCCTAAACCCTACACCCTAACCCTAAACCCTAAACCCCAAACCCTAAACCCAAGGCCTTGAGGAGGTCCAGCAACTGCATCTTGTCGATCGTTCGTTGGTTTTGGCCTCCGCAGCTCCAAGGAGTCTGATGCAATGGAGGGCATGGAGGGTTTAGGTTTTAGGGTTTTAGGGTTTTAGGGTTTTAGGGTTTTAGGGTTTTAGGGTTTTAGGGTTTTAGGGTTTTAGGGTTTTAGGGTTTTAGGGTTCTGGGCTTCTAGGGTTCTAGGGTTTTAGGGTTTTAGGGTTGAGGATTCTAGGGTTTTAGGGTTCTAGGGAGGGTTTAGGATTCTAGGGTTGAGGGTTCTAGTAGGGTTCATGGTTTAGGGATCGGGGTTTAGGGTTCTACATGTACTTCAAGGTGGCTCCTAGTCTCTTTCGGTTGGGGGTTCCAGATGTTGCGGCGTTGAACTTCGGGGGTGACTCGCTCCCTCCGACAGTAGGGCCTTCAGCGTCGTGCGGTGTATGCCAGGTGCTGGGAACGAGGGTTCAGGGCTTCCCGTGGTTTCGAGGTTAAGACATGTAGGCTTGGATCAGGGTTCAAGGCCAGAGTTGCAGGTTTAGGGTTTAGGGTTCTGGGCCGGGGGCTTGTGGGGTTTCGGGCGGGGTTATGGCGCCGGGACCCACGTACGTCAAAGCCTCCCTAGCCTGCAAGACCCCAGACAACCTCAAAATCCCACACCGACAACCTTACGGCCACAGCCCTCTAGACCCAAAACCCCACTAGCAAGCCCCTAAAAGAACAAAACTGGTAAACCCAAAAAAGAAAAGAACACAAGCAACCCACCCCACCCCCAACAAAAGAGGAACAACACCAACAAAGCTCCGACTGCTCAAGCCTTACGCCCGACCACAACTCCGATCTCATAGCTTCCAAGCGGCAGTACTGGTACCAGACCATCCTCATCACCGCCCTCTCACCCACATCCGGGCCTCAGGAGCACAGGTGTAGGGTTTAGGGTTTAGGGTTTAGCGTTTAGGGTTTAAGGTTTCTATGGGTCATTCGGGTGTTTGGGGGTGGAGAGCAGGGTTAACTTTAGAGCTTGGGGGCTTTCGGGGCTTCGGTTGAAGCGCGGGCTGTCTATTTCCAGCTTTGAAAGGGCCTGCCGCCCTTCGAAGGCCTCACGCCTTCCTCTTGATTCAGGGTTTAGGGTTTCGTGTTTCGGCTTTACCCACGGCCCGGGAGGTAGGCTAGGGAGGCCACTCAAGACTTGCCTTAGCTACAGTTCGCTTTCGTTCTGTTGTTTAGGGGGTGGGGGGTACAGTAGGGTTAGGCCCTGTATAGGGTTGATTATGGGGATTATAGGGCCTGGTAGTCCATCCTGGTGAGGGTGCAATTAGCCCACTGAGGTGGAGGCCATCAAACCGTCCAGCGCGCTTGCGGTCCAGCATGTGCCTGAAGGGGAGATAGGCATCCCCCAAGCCCCCTTTAGAGCTAAAGCCCTAAACCCTAAACCCTAAACCCTAAACCCTAAACCCTAAACCCTAAACCCTAAACCCTAAACCCTAAACCCTAAACCCTAAAACCTGTTCCGGGGCTTGAGCTCAGGAGTTTCTTCTCTTGTGCTTCCGTGTGCTTGCAACCTCTGAAAGCCGACTCTGGCGACAGGGTTGAGGATTTAAGGGCAATGAAGTCCATGAGCTGCGAAGTGTACTGAACTGGAAGCCAATCCTGATACCACTAAACTCGGTTTAGGGTTTAGGGTTTAGGGTTTAGGGTCGGGTTTAGGGTTCAGGGTTTAGGGTGACCCTTTAAGCCCGAAGCTCCAATCCCCCCCCCCCCCCCCCCCAAACCCAACACGTGACAAAAAAACTCCGTGCAGGCCCGCGCCTGTACACCTCAGCGAAGCGCTCGGGGCCTGTGGCTCAGATGGCTCAGGAAGGGCCGGCACCCTAAACCCTTATAACCCCCAAACCCCCAAACCCCCAAACCCCCAAACCATCAACCCCCAAACCCCTAAAATTTAAACCCCTAGACCCTGCAAATGAGAGCGTGCTTTTAGATGTTTGGGAAGCCCAGAGTGGAGTGTTTTTCATGCCGCTGTGCTTCGTGCTTCTTGGGCTGGAGACTCCCTCCTCCTCTGGGTATGCCGAAGTGCAGGTTGAGGGTTTAGGGTTTAGGGTTTAGGGTTTAGGGTTTAGGGTTTAGGGTTTAGGGTTTCGGGTTTGGGGTTTCGGGTTTAGGGTTTGGGGTTTAGGGTTTAGGGGCTCAGGGGTGCTAGGGTGCTAGCATGCCTGAGTGCTAGGGCACCCCGAAGCCGCCAGGCGCCCGGCAACCAAGGAACAGAAAGGGAGCTGCTTGCTGTTTAGGGGGCTTTGTGGGGGAACACAAAACCCTAAACCCTAACCCCTAGCCCCTAACCCCTAAACCCTAAACCCTTTGGGAATGGTCAGACAAACCTCGGGACTCTCATCCCGAAAGCGCCTGAGCAGGAGATCTTGTCCTTCACGCGCTGGGTCACCTGAACCGGGAACTCCATAAGGTTTAGGGTTAGGGTTTGGGGTTTGGGGTTTAGGGTTGAGGGTTGAGGGTCAGGGTTAGGGTTTTAGGGTTTACGGTTCAGGGTTCAGAGTTCAGGGTTCAGGGTTCAGAGTTCAGGGTTCAGGGTTTAGGGTTTAGGGTTCCCAAGCTTTCGGATGCTGCACGACTCCTCTGCCTCGGCAAGGAAGTCGTCCCAGTCGATCTTGCCATTGCCTTTCCGGTCCCACTCCTGCTGAGGTTAGGGGGTAACTTATTGGGGTTTAGGCAGAACATGGGGGAGTTTAGGGTTTCGGGTTAGAGTTTAGGGTTGAGGGAAACTGGGGGGGGGGGGGTACCTTATAGGGGTCCTTCTTATCAGGGAATCCCACTATTTAGCCGTATTTTCGTCAAGCCCATGTAGGGCTTGGGACTATGCTAAATACTTGCCCTATCCCCCTAAACCCTAAACCCTAAACCCTAAACCCGAAACCCTAAACCCTATACCCGAGACCCTAAACCCTAGAACCTACGTACACAACGTAGAACTTATCGCTGAACACCCACACTCTCAGAGGAGGCTGGCCTAAACCCTAAATTTGGGGGGGGGCCCCTAGAAAAACGGGGCCGGTCGAAGTAGGGTTCAGGGCTTACGAAGTGGCGCGGGGGTTGAACAAGACCCCTAAACCCTAAACCCTAAACCCTAAACCCTAAACCCGAAACCCGAAACCCGAAACCCCAACCCTGCACCATATTTTGGAGGACCGTCCCTCTCACTCCTTGAAGGTCTGGTCCAGGTCTTCGTCCTCGTTGTCCTGGGCGCCAGGGCCCGATGAAGTCCGGGGGATTCAGGGGCTTCGGAGATGAGGAGTTTAGGGTTTAGGAGCCCTAAACTCTAAACCCTAAACCCTAAACCCTAAACCCTAAACCCTAAACCCCCTAAACTTAGAGTTTTTCGGAGTTTAGGAGCTCAAGGTCCTGGACCTACAAGCGAAAAATGTCAAAATGAACAGCCTCAAAAGCCCTAAAGCCTAAACCCTTCTTGTTTCCTTTGGCCTGTGAAGGGCATGTAGGGCTGGGCCAACACCTAAACCCTAAACCCTAAACCCTAAAACCCTAAACCCTCGGAAAAGGCTCTTTAAGCCCTGGCTCTGGGGGCTGATAGATGGCCAGCAGCAGATCAAGAAGCTGAGACTTGCTGATCTTGCCTTCAGGGATTCTTGGGTTTAGGGTTTAGGGTTCAGGGTTCAGGGTTTAGGGTTTCGGGTTTAGGGCTTCGGTGCCGAGGGTTCTATGGTTTAGGGTGTTTAGGCAGGGTTTAGGGCCTTTAGGGCTGGGACATTGCGCTAAAGCCCCTTAAAGCCGTAACGTTGGGCTGTTCCCCCTTATCCTAACTTGGGAGTATAGTACCCTCTATGATAATCCCGATTAAGGACTGCTAGTATAAGGGGGAACATCCCAACCGTAAAGCACCAAAACGTGATAGCTTGCAAAACCCAGTAACTCTCGCAGGTGGCCCCAGGAGAACTGAATGCCCAGAGTTGGAGCTTGCTTCTCCCCTAAACCCTGTGAACACCATCAACCCTGAAGACCCGAAAGAACCACAAAAACCCTTACAACCCCTCAATAAAGACTCCAACCCCCTCCCCAAAAAAAACTCTAAACCCTACAGGCCCTCTAAACCCTACAAACCCTGAAGCTACATACAAACCCCATTAAAAACCCTCTCAAGCCACCTGGCAAGCAGCCCCCCTCAACTCCCTCTCAAGGCCTTTGTTGGGCATGGAATACCTGAGAGGCGGAGGCTCTGGGCCGCAATCTGGGTTTGCTACAACCCAAAAGAACCACCCAAAAACCCTGCTTAAGGACATTCGGGTTTAGGGTTTAGGGGTTTAGGGTTGTTAGGGTTATTAGGGTCATTGGGGTTTTAGGGGTTTAGGCTTGAAGGGTCTTAGGAGGTCTTAGGATGTTCGGAATGGAAGTACAGTTGCCATCTGCTGAACCCTCAGCTTCCTCAACCCGAAATCCCACTGGAAGGCATTCCTTGACACGAATTAGCAGAGTTTGGCACTCATTGCTCCAAAATGGAAGTGCTTCAGACCTCACCCTAAACCCTAAACCCTAAACCCTAAACTCTAAACCCCTCGTGCTTTCCCAGCCCAGCCGTGGAATCTTACTGCTCCATACCCTGAGCCCTAAGCCCTGAAACCCTTGGCTCTTGCGTGCCTTCCTGCGGACCTGGGTGCACTTGCCACATGGACTGCAGCACGTCGATCTCCTTTCATGACGCTCTGGGCATAATTAGTGGTTCCGGGCTTCGGGTCTAGGGGCTGATGGAAGGCCCTGAAATCGAAACCACCGGCATGCTGCACAACCTGCGTCTGAGTGCAGATGCGATCTTTTGAACTTCTTCCAACTGTGAACCTCTCCGAGAACCCCAGCACCTGAATCCACAGCCCGAAACCCTACCCTTGGCCTTGTTTCCGTATCTGACATGCAGCTTGGAATCCACGCACCGTCTCTTGCCAGGTACCCTAAAGCCTAAACCCTAGACCCTAAACCCTAAACCCTGAACCCTTTAAACCCTAAACCCTAAACGCCTCCAGCTTCGACTCAGGTTTAGGAACACGTGGACCCCAACACAGATTGCCGGCCAGGTCCGGCATGCGCACCTTGCGGGCTTCGGGCTTGGGGTTGAAAGGAACTGCGAGTGTAAACAGGGTTTAGGGTTTAGGGTTTAGGGTTTAGGGTTTAGGTCGTGCGAGACCCTAATACCCTGAACCCGAATAAAATCCTAAACCCGTCCCTCAGAATGCTCCTCCTTAGTCGGGCCAGTGAAGCGCCCGGCGATGCTGCGCATGAGCATGGCCTTCGCTGTCCCAAAGTGTGAAACCCCCGTCGGCCCTAAACCCTAGCAGGCCAGTGTGTAGGGCCAGTGTAGGGCTTAGGGTTCATGGTTCAGGCTTAGGGCCCCATAACCCTAGACAACTCCACACTCCCTCTACCCAAAGAACCTAAACCTCGTGTACCCTATAAGCCCTGTAGACCAAAGAAGCGTCCTTTCAGCATCCGGTTTGGCGCTGTGGGTTACAGAGGGCCTTGGGCCCGTGAGGGCTGAAGGGCCTCCTCAAAAGAGAGGGCTTAGGGTTTAGGGTTTAGGCTTAGGGTTTAGGGCTTAGGGTCTGGCATATGATCCCTCCCCGACGGCATGTAGCCCCAGCAATTCTATAACTTTCCCAATCGCAGCAATACTTTAGGGTAGGGATGTTGATGTGACGCTCCTAAGTACCCGCTTAGGTCCTTACTAAAGCGGCACTTCGGGGATGCAGGTGGGATTTGAGGGAGGGTTGGTGAGCAAGAACTTCATAGGGAATTCGGGACCTAAGTAAACTGCATCCTCCCATGCCAACCTTGCAGGGTACCTACAATGTCCGAACTCCAAAAAGTAAGTGCCTTGTAGACCGCCGCGAAGCGCTCGTGGAAGAAGATGCGCTCATACTGGAGGGGGCACTTGGAAGGGCGTGCTTCCCAGCAACAAAGCCACAGTGCCACATGGATAGCTTAATCTACGAGTGGCATGTGTATAGATAATGCTAGAAATATCATGTACATATTGCGACATACGGCTCATGAGATGAAATTACACGCGCCATGCGACATTCCGCTTCCCCCTAAACACAAACCCCCACATCGCAAGGGTGTGTCGGCTCCTTGACGATAAACTCCGGATAGACGTGGTCATCATTATACCTGGGTGTCGGCTGAGGGCACTGGTGTTTGGGGTTAACTTACCGGGTTAGCCATCAACCCGAAACCCGAAACCCTGAACCCTCCTGCTTACTGTACGCTCCGGTCCCAGCCCTTTTGCGCACGAACCCTGCGCATCAACTTCTGGGGAGAACCCAAAGTATCCATAGGCCCTGAGTGCCCTTAACCCTTCCCAAGATCTCTCAAAGCTTCGTCGGAGCTGAAGCAGGGATGGTAGGGTTCTCTATACCTTCCCATAGACGTATGATGAAGATGATACATCCACTTGAATCTTCTTGATGGCTGGTATATACATACAAGACCGAAAAAACACAATTCCGAAGGAGACACCGACTTCGGGCTTTAAGGCTTGGGGGCGTAGGCTTCTGGTCTCCCAGACCTCAGTGTGAAGGATTTCAGGAAATCCAGGGGTTGGGAATCTCAAACGCCTGAGCCCCTACACCCTGAACCCGAAACGCCGAAGTCAAGAGTTCCTGCTTTTTCTCTACGCTCCCATGTTTTTGGATTTGGGATGGGGTGTGCAGAGAGTCCATGAAGTTCATCGTGTTTGTAGGGTTTAGCGGCTTTTTTCGGCATCAATAGGGGCTTACAGGGTTGAGAGGGTTTACCTATACTCCCCTTAGAACCTTAGTAAAATAGTTGTTTAGCTCCCCTTGGGGCTTTTTTTCTAAAAAGAGCCAAAAACCTAAGGGGGCTATCGTTACAAGGCTTTTATAGGGCTTGCTCGGGGATAATAGGCTAGATAAACTAGACCCAGGAGTAACCTAGGCATTTTAAGGGTGCCGTTTTGGTCTTAAGGGGCTTTTTGACCCTAAACCCTAAACCCTAAACCCTAAACCCTAAACCCTAAAACTAGGAAATCAGGGCCTACTCTGATAAACACAAGTGTTATGACACTTTTAACTCTGCGCAGCACGATCTGAGCTCAAGGCCTGCAGGGGGAAACATAGAGTCGAGAGAAGCTTGATCACTGCTGACATGTCTCAAAGACCCTTCTTCAGATTTTCAGCCCCCAAAAAATCTTCAGCAGTGAGTCCGCGATGCTTCTTTCGATGCAAGGACTGTTTGCCCTCGCCTAGGACTTCTGCCTCCTTTTGAATCTTCAAGGAGTGCGTTTTGAGTAGTTTCAGCATGGGTTCCTCGTGAGCTCCAGTGAGTTTGGTTAGCATATCCGCAGGGTTGCTGTTATGAGGGATCCATCTGATTCTACCTCTGACTTTTGACATTGAGTCTTGGATCAATGCCAGTTCCAAAGCGGATCTGTCATCTTCCCCTACAGCTTGTTCTGTGTTGGAAGCATCATAGAGGCTTTTAGCGTCTACAATGCACACGCTGTCTGGATCAGTGTACAGCTCATCTTCACTTGCTATCACTGAGGCTTTGCCGCGCAGTGTGCACTCTGGTTCCTCTTCGCGTTCTGCCAGGGTTCTGGGGTTGAAACGCGAGAACCGAATGCTCTTGAAGAAAGCGACTTGCCTTTCCAAACTTCCCAGTGCAGAGGCCAAGGAAATGGACTCACTGAGCATCGTTGATCCAGCCTTTCTTCGCAGCCTTCTTGAACGCCACGACAAAAGAGAGACGGGTGCTTCTTTGCCCAGGTTCAAGTCTGGGGTAGTGACTCCCAGAATCCATCCATGCTGTGGCTTCGTTCTGCCGCTAGGATCGAACGCGCTGTCGCTCACTAGCACATGTCTGAGATCGGCTTCAGGAAGTGAGTGAATTTTGATGGTCACACTGTGTGCTTTGAGCCTGGCGACTACTTTGTTGGCTTCCAAAGCATGATGCAAAAGCGGTTTGGGAAAAGCTGCAGCTAGTATCGATGCTGCTGCCGAGGCGTCCGGACGGCCTTCTCTTGCTGCCCAGTTTATGGAAGCTATGGTGCCTCTCAACTGCGCCTGCTCAGCATCGTTCAGCTGCACTTCCATGGAGTCCTTCTTCCACAGCTGTCGAGTGAAGTTCACCGGCTTGAGGCGGTTCTGGACGTAGTCGTCCATGGTCAGGTAGTAGCTGAAGTCTTTGCCTTGCCACAGACGTTTTCCCGCGTAGCTGGTCCCGTTGTGTTCCTCTCTGAGGTTAACGGACTTGCCAAAACGTAGCTTTGAGGCCAACCATTCCATATTGCGGCGTTGTCTCTGCGAGCCGGTCTCGTAGAGATCATCCACTTCTATGAGAATGATGCCTTCGGTCAGGGCCTCTGCATTCTTGGCTTCCGCATCCAAAGTCAGCACACATCTGTCATATGGATTGACGCGGTACTTCAACTCCCGAACCAGGACTTCCAGCAAACTCCTCCTCCACCACGCTGGGCCGGAAACAAGGCCGTAGACTTCTGTCAACAGCAGCACCAACTGTTCGGCGCTGTAGCCTTCAAAGGGCTCGTCAGTTGGCATTTCCACCGCTAAAGGTTGACTCCTTGTAGTGGGCTTGCTCTTGTCTTCACGTCCTTGAGGTATCCAGGCCATTTGCGGCTTGCGGAGATTTGGAATGCACTGTAGAGAGAGGCGGTGAGTGGTGTCGGCGCCGCCCTCTCCACTTCGTGAATCATCGGATCCTCCCATCCAATGATGCACCATCTGCTCTTTGCGGACAGACCTCCATGATGCTGTGGATCGAAGTTGGGGTTGTCAAACTCCTGGGGGAGCACTGAGAATTTGTCTCCATCAGGTTTCCAACGATCAACATAGCGGCTTCGGAGTACGAACTTGGGGAAACTCTGTCTGAACTTCCTTGATTCCTCGACACTCAAGATCTTGATGGCTTGGTTTTCAAGCAAGGACTTCACCTCTTTTCGCCTAGAAGCGCGAAACACCTCTTTGTGCTTCTCGGACAGCTTGTTGAACTGCACCTGTCCCGGCGAGGTTTTGGCCTTTGTGAGGTACACACACCTGTCTTGAGCACTGTACGATGCTTCCGCTTCTGTGGCTGTGAAGGTCTCTGTCCCGAGAGCTGCCAATGAACTGCGACCTCTTTGTTTGTCCTGGTACCACATGGCACCGTCCCCCTGCACCCAGAATGTGTGTTGTGTTCTGGACTCTTCGAAGCTCGCGACTTCCATGTAGTGGGACGGTCTTGAAGGCGCTGGCCAGGACCTTGGAGCGTTCGCGAAGGGATAGGGCATGGCGCTCGAGGTAGTTGACGATGTCGTGGGAGCTTCCCGGATTGGTCCCCAGGCAATGCTTCCACTGCTACCCTCGTCCACTCGAAGGCTGTGTCTCCGACTCTCCATGGGTGTAGCGGTTGGCGTAGGTGTCCTTTCCGGCGTAGCAGGCGTTCTGGTGCTTGCAGACTGGGCCTGGAGTAGTTCATCCTCTTCACCTTGGAGCAGCGGTGGCAGTGGAGGTTGTTCCATGCGCTCATCCTCGTCTGCACCCAGGATTTCTCGCAACGCACCTTCGTCCTCCACATCCATAGGCTCCACGTCGGTGGGGGAGTAGCCTTGAACATCTTCAGGAATGTCTGCGGCTACCTCGGACGACTGATTGGCTTCAGGTTCATCTTCTTCAACGATTGGAGACAGCTGAATCTCCACACCTTCTCCTTGGTGGTCAGGTTCTCCTTCACCTTGCAGATCTTGGAACCTTTGAACCTTTCCCGCATTGATGTCGCGCAACATTTCTGAAGACAGTTCTTTGATCAGCTCAGCGCCCAAGTTCTCCTCGGATGTCGCCCTCCTGACCTGCTCTCGTGACACTTTAACTAAGTGCCCTCGCAAAGATACCCAGAGCGATCTCTCGTTGGGACTCTCTGCCAACAGAACTCCTGGACCGCTCCAGCCCTTGAAGTTCGGAGTGTTTCGCCAAACGTATACCCATTCGCCCACATTGAGGTTCTTGATGTCTGATGTTCTGGTAGTGGTGGCCAGGCCTCTCTTGACGGTCTCTTCGTCGATTCGTCGTAGCCACGCTGCAGCCGCTGCTTCCCTGATCTTCCAGGCCTGCTTGATGGGCTCACTCGCGCTCTGATGCACAAGTATGGGAGACATGATGTCGTCTGCTGCTAGCGAAGCTGGAAGGCGGGGATTGTAATCAAAGACTCGCTGATACGGCGTGAACCCGCTCCTGTGGTAGTATCTATTCCTGGCCACCTGCGTCTCCGTCACGCACTGGTTGAACTCGATGTCCGTGGTAGCTTGGACCTCCTCCAATACTACACGGAGTTTGGACTTGAAAACGCCACCCATGCGCTCTGTCTTGGCAGCTTGCCACGGACTGCGGGCGTCGGTAAAATGTATCATGATGCCCATCGCACTCAAGTGATGCTGAAAGGCCTTGCCAAAGTATTCTGGCCCCTGGTCCACCACTAAGATGATGGGACATCCATATGGCTTCAACCAACAACGTCCAAAGGTCTCAAAGGTGGTAGTCGCGGTAACCTCTGAGATCTCCTCTACGACCTGCAACCCAGATCCCCAACATACGCAGTTGAGAAAGTTGTGCGTCTTCCCCAGGTGGTTGAGAAAGAAGGTGTCCACGCCGACGACCATGTTGAATTCAAGAGCCCTTGCGAGATGTCCTGGTCTCGGAGCACTTGGTTTCCTCTGGCCCTCACAGAGTGGACAGCGAAAGCTTGTTTTCGCCCAACTAATGACCTCTTCTCGAGCTCCTGCGTGTTTGAGTGCACGGATGAAAGCTTGATGATCAGGATGCCCTAAGTTGCGGTGGAGCCTGTACAACTCCCGCCGCAGATCTGGAGCCAGTTGGGGATTGTGATCCCCTCGAATTTCAGAGGCTCTTTGTTGTGCTTCGGGTCCTTCGCCCAGAGGTCGGAGTTCTCGTTGCGCTCGACGCAGCACCGGATCTCTAAAACCTGGTTCCTCAATTGCCGGTCGAGCCTCGGGCGATAGCATTCTGCTAGATGGGAACGATGCGGAAGTCGACATAGTTTTTGAAGACCCCGGCTCTGAACGCATCCATGTTGACAAAGCTGTGGAAGATCTGTTTGCCGAGCACATGGGCAGTGCGTCCGCGTATTCCATCTCGGGCCGTCTCGATGAGAGCTCGATCTCGCCACCCCCGGACCCAAAATTCTCGGACTGCACTGCGAACACTTTCGCCCACTCGCCCTGAAAGCTGATCTCGTCCACAACGTAGTCGAAAACTCCCGGAGCCAAGGCTTGACCTAAGTGCATGGCCAAGCTTCGCGCTCCCTGAGGCGGTCCGTGCTCGTCTGCAGCGACCTTGCCGTAGAAGAACACACCTCGGTTCTGTAAGCGACGACGTAGACCCGCCAAGACTGCACGGCCGAAAGCCCGCGGTTGCATTGCGGCCTCACCACACAGTTGACCTCCAAGTATTGGTCGATGTTCGTGTGGCCTGGAACAACGCCGTCTCAAAGCTTTTGCCAGGAAGTGGAGGTTTGTACTCAACTGGGCGCGCTTACTTTCTGCTTCTCTCTCGGCTGGTTGAAATTGGAAGACAGACATATCGACCGCGACGGTTTGAACTTCTGGCCTCGAGAGTAGTCTTTGTAGAGCTGGGAGTTCCCACGAGGTCGCTGCAGGGGCGTGCGCAAACAGGAAGCCTCGACCGGCCTCCAGCTGCAACATTGCCACCTGCACCGCAAACTCTGTCAGCTGTTGTGTCTCCTCTTCTTCTGCTCGAACTTTGTCTGGATCTCGTGGAAAGTTGGAGAGAGAGCATGACACTGAGCTCTCAGTGCATGACGGTGACAAAATCACCAAAGCTGGCTTCTTTACGCGGATGATGTCCACCACAAACTGTCGATCAGCGGCCCGCCTGAAATCGTAGCCTTCGGTGAGGTCGAAGGCTCCGCCGCTCTCGACGCCATAGTTCCGGGCCTCCTTGGACATCCTTGGTGGGCTGAACACTTCCACGACCGACTCGCTTTTGCAAACATATGTTTTGATGTTGTGGCTCAACTGCTGTTTCACCACCTTGGTGAGTGAGGCTTCTTTGTGGATCACATCGCTGTCCTCCTGGCCCCACCATTTGTTGCTTTCGTTTGGGCAAAATGCCCAACAAGAGGCAAAGTGCTCTGTGCCGGCATACTTGGAACAGTCCTGACAAGATTGCCAATTCAAGGACTCACATTGATTGAATTCAAACTCTGGCTGACTCATCAGAAGAAAGTGAGTTGGCTCTCCAAGCCAAGGGATTGTCACTGGAGGAATTCCAGTGAATGGAGCAGCGTTCACAAAAGAGCAAAGAAGGAACACCGCCCACTGAGCCAAGCCTTTCGTGGTCGATCGTGGCATGCAAAAACCTCTCTTCTTTAGCTGCTCCCCGGAGAGAATCTCGAGGTTCTGGAAGCTCGGCGCTGCGCCATGGATACATCCTGATCCTCGTCGGAATGGATCACCAAGAACTCTGGGCTGCTCGTCAACTCCGACCTTGCACACGTTGGAGTCTTGCTTCGCCCCATTGGCACTGTGCCCGCCAAAGCTCTGGTTCTCGACTGCGATGCCTCCTTTTGCTCCAGCTTGCACTTTTGAGCTCCATATCCGCCCTTCGTCTTCACCGTCACCTGGCGATCTTGTACTTGAGGTTGTCCACGGGGCGCCGGAATCACTTTCGGATAGGCCACCTCTGGATTCTTGGGCGAATTGACAAACGTCGTGCTGCTGGAGCTTCCGGAGTTCTCTTCCAGGCGCTCCCACCTGCTCCCGCATTGGAGGCAGGTGAACCAGTACTGTCCCCGGCCGGCTCGATGGCGAAGATGTTCGGCTGGATGGGCACAATCCTCCATTGGACTGTTCCAGTTCTTTTGAGCCATCGAACGGCTCAGCTGTTTGCCGATGCCCATCCTCAGCTGAGTCTCGGAGAAACTCTTCTTGCCTTTGGAGCTCTGGCTGGTTGAGAGGAGCACCAGCGCCTTCTCGTCGAACCGTTTCTTCTTGTTCTCGATAAACTCCATGAGCATCTCGTGGCGAATGTTCGCCAAGATCATGAAAATGCCCAGGGTCAAGCGCTTCCAGGCCAACACCCTGTCGAACGCTGGCTTGGGTTTGGCACCCTCTTCTGCCCCTGCTCCCTTCAGGAGTGCTGAGGCTCGTTCCTTCAAGGACATGACTGTGCTGGGCGCCAAACACACTGAGAAATCCCAGAAGCTGCTTGAGCATGGAAGGCACTGACAAAGGCAATTCGCTCGTGTTCTTGCGGCTCCGACGACCGCACCCTAGTCTTCCAGTGACGCTAGCACAATCATGTTGGACACTGGTTCTCTCACTCTTGGGTGTGTTGCTGCTGCTTGCAGATTTCGGGCCTTGCAGATCCGGACTGTCATTGGAGCTGCTCGCCCCAATCGTTTTGGTCTCCTCAGAGTCAGCAATGTTGAAGGTCACAACTTGGCTGTGACCCCGAGTAGTTGGTATGGGTGTAGTAGTAGTAGTAACACGGCTCGCACTGCTTGATGGACTGGAGCATGACAAAGTAGTCGTGGCGCGCGGTGCGAGATTCATGGACCGACGCGACGACGACGAAACATGCTCCAAACCATCACTCCCTCCAGGTACGAATTCTAGTCCATCAAGCGCGTGAAACACCACACTCCCATGCCATGGCGGTCTGTTTTGATGTGACCAAGGCACGTCCCAACGATCATGCAAAACGAAGCTGTGGCCGTTTTCATCGGCCTCCGTCAGGTGAGTGGTGCGTGTTGGCTGCAGGGTGTCGGGATCTAGGTGGCATTCCTCGGGAAGTACCAAAGAACTTTTGGGACCAACCAGTGTTTGAACATATTCAAGTTGATCATTGCGCGCAAGCCAAACCAACACCTGCTGCTTCGTCTGCTGCATGAACTGGGCACCCTCCAACAGAATGAAAGGATCTACTGCTGGGTCCTTACGCAGATGAACTGGAAGATTCCATCCTTCCTTGTCAAAGTCGAGGATGTTGACAGCTCTGTGTCCTGTGGGGAGGCGGCGCATTGTGGTTTCGGGGCCAAAGCGGGTTGTGTACATATCATGGGCAAAGTCGAGAATGGCACCAACTGACTCCAGATACTTGATGGGGAGCAGTGGCGGAATCTCGCTCTCTGAATCCTTCAACACTGTGAACCGTAGAACCCCGTTCACTTGCGCAACACCGATGGGAACTTCAAAAAGCCCCAACACCTGCGCTGGCCCACCTATGCCGCCGGCTCCGGGCATCGCGGCGCCTGCTTCCACAGGCAGAACTTGCAACCCCAGTTCTCTTAAGGATTGTCTCAGTCTTTGCATGGCATTCTCTCCTATCACAGCATCTTCTGCCGCGGTGTCCACAAGCGCTTCTGAAGCTCGACAGGATATGCCAGCATACACTTGAATGGTTCTGGGAACTCGCATCATGTAGGCATGTGATTGCCCGCCACCACCACCGACAACGATGAGCCCCTTCTTTGAAGGTGAACTGGCTGGACCGCCGCCGCTTGCCGGATTCTTCTTCAAGGGGCAATCCTTTGCTAGATGTCCCAATTCGTGGCAACCAAAACAACGCGTGCGAAGCAACAAGTCACTTTCTGTGCCTCGCTTGCCTTTGCCACGGCCTTTGGATCGATGCAGATGCATTGATCCAGGCCTTCCTCTGCTGCGGTCCATTCGGGGCCGGCTTTGCGAACTTCTTCTTGGGCCATCTTCACGAGATTTGTCTCTTCGAGTGTAACCTCGATCATTGCGCCGCTGCTGAAGCTCTCGCCGAACATCTCGATAGGCATTGTGATACGCATACACTGCAAGAGCTTCACTTTCATCATACTCCCGGTCCTCCATGTCGAACAGCAAGTTGCCCGCTTCATCTTCCAACGCCTCGGAACCTTCCGACGAGTCTTCCTCTTCGCCTTCCGAAGCCTGGCCCTCTGCAAAAAAATGTTTGCTGTGACCACCCTCGTTGCCCTTGACTAAGGCTTCTGGACGGTCCAAGGGACGTAGTAGAGCAGCTGTTTCGTCGAAACCTCGAAGGACAGGACCACGTAGCATGATGAGCTCCCTTTGAAACTCTGAAAGCCCTGCTTGTTTGAGAAGAATTCTTCCACAAAGCCTGTCTGAGACCATTTCGCCCAGTTGTGCTTCCATCTCTTGCTTGGCAAGTTCTTTACTAGCTATATAAGACGAAAAACTTTCATTCTTCTGTCTCTCTCCCTCGAACAAAAACCTATCTATTGCTTGTGGCCCAGACGCTTCCAAGTACGGTGCATACTTCTCGTGCAAAGCAGTCAAGATTGCGCTGTATCCCTTGCTGGAAAGGAGAACTTCAGTAGGAACAGTGTCTGCAATACGACGAGGTTGTGAGCCTTCAGGAAACGACTGAAGAAGTTTGATCCCTCTCTTGTCTGCCGGAACCTGGCTCTCGTACTCCCATAACGCAAGCAGCTTAAGCCAACTCCTCAGGGTTGACGGGCTACCATTCCAGACTGGTATATTCTTCCTTTCACCTACCAATGCTTGATTCAGAGCTTGTGCGATGAGAAGATCTGGAGGAGACTGCACCAAACTTCTGGACTGAAAGGACTGTCCAGGGCCTCGCCTTCCCAACATCTGGAAAGCCGAATGCACTTCATGATCCCTGCTCGCTGAACTTCCCGAGCCTAAGGCTGATGCGAACGTGGCAGCATTGAAATCGGCTCCCTGACTTGGAGGCGCTGGTGTCTGTCGTTGTTCGGGAAGAGGCTTGAAAGTAGAAAAACCATTTGGGGAAATCGAAGTCGAAAGGGTAGGGGTTCGACAGCTAGCATCTTGCCCAATTCTTGGAACTGAAGAATTCGGCTGCTGAATCCCTGGCGGGATCCCGGGCCCAAACGATGTAGCATAGCTCATGGTCATCCCTGGAGAACATGGTTCAGCTGCAAAGGGCTGTGGACCTGTAGGAGCTGGCTGCCAGAAGGCAGGAATTCCTTTGCCAGGATACGCCTGCGCAGACTGACCTGTAGCTCCTTGCGATTCTGCAAAGCTGTTGTCAAAGTTCCCAGGGCTGACCCACGTACCTTTCTGTCGTAGGTACTGGGCCCACGGATCGACATTGGGCTCACTAGGTTTTCCCTGACGCGAAGCCATGCTCCGCTCCACCAACTGATAAACACAAGTGTTATGACACTTTTAACTCTGCGCAGCACGATCTGAGCTCAAGGCCTGCAGGGGGAAACATAGAGTCGAGAGAAGCTTGATCACTGCTGACATGTCTCAAAGACCCTTCTTCAGATTTTCAACTCCGGGTCCTAGTTATCGTCCCAGGTACACGATGATCTCACGGAATGTCTTGTTCAGCTTCAGCCTCCCAAGGCATGGAAGGACTGTTTGACTGTTTTCTGTTTTCCGGGTGTTTGGGGGGACTCCGTGGTGTTGGGCTTAGGGTTTAGGGTTTAGGGTCTAGGGTTTGGGTTTAGGGTTTACGGTTTAGGGTTTCGCGTTTAGGGGTGGTTGAGAGGCTCAGGGTTTAGGTCAACGTTGCAGGGTTGTGATCTTCTTTGGTGCAAAGGAGAGGGCTTGGCTATGGTGCTGTCTATGCTCAAGGACTTATGCTTGAAGCATGCTCAGCATGTCTGAGGCAGATGTGTACACGAACGTCGGTCCGTTTCCGAGGCCTGGGCTTTCAACCCGAACCCGAAACCCCTGAAAGGGCCAACTGTCTTGAGCGCTTAGTGTTTCGGTAGGCTTTTCAGACTCAGGAGCCTAAACCCTAAACCCTAAACTCTAGGGCTTAGGGTATGAGGTTGGGGAGGGAGTGCCACACCGATGCAGGCCGAGGCCATGTTACCAAATAACATCGGCTTCTGAAGTGTCAGGGCCCCCGAACTGCTGAAAGCCCAAACCCTCAACCCTACACCCTAAACGATAAAGCCTAAACCCTAAACCCTAAACCCTAAACCCTAAACCCTAAACCCTAAACCCTAAACCCTAAACCCTAAACCCTAAACCCTAAACCCTAAACCCCAAGCCAACCGGTGTGAAAACCTCAGAGCCCCAGATGTGCCTGTCGCCCAGCACAGATTGGAAATGGCCATCGGTGCAGCTCTTTACCAGCCTGTGCTAGGGTTGAGGGTGTGTAGGGTTTGGGGTTTAGGGTTTGGGGGTTAGGGTTTAGGGTTTAGGTTTAGGGTTTCGGGTTTCTTGCTTTCTTGCTCCCACGCTTAGGAGATTAAGGGTTGAAACACAACCATGCAAACCCACATGGGTTTAGGGTTTCGGGTTTCTTGCTCCCACGCTTAGGGGATTAAGGGTTGAGGAGAAACCCATGCAAACCCACATAACGCCCTACTAAGCCTTGATATACCCAGAACAAGCTGGAGCCCACGAAGCTTGGGCAAACCTTTGGCTTCAACCCTAAACCCTAAACCCTAAACCCTAAACCCTAAACCCTAAACCCTAAACCCTAAACCCTAAACCCTAAACCCTAAACCCTAAACCCTAAACCCTAAACCCTAAACCATGGCTTTTGCTGTGCACGGCCTGTCGGGGTCCGGTCGCTGCTCGTCGTTGTAGTTCACGCGGCCCAGCCTTTGTGGCCGGAGCCCACAACCAGAGAACCCTAAAGCCCGAAGCTACCCTAACCCTAAACCCTAAACCCTAAACCCTAAACCCTAAACCCTAAACCCTAAACCCTAAACCCTAAACCCTAGACTCCCCCTGAGTGTACTTCTTGCATTGGGTGTTACGGATGTGTCTAGCCAGGGTCTTGAAAAGGTGTAGGGTTGGAGCTGGATTTCCGAACTTGCCAGGGGCAAGGGATGAATGATTGCCTCTCGGTTTCGGGTTTAGGGCGGATTCCTCTGAGCAGTCCAGGCGGCGATGAGCGGCAAACCAGGATGTATGACCTGACAGCACGGAGACCCCAGCCCCGCCAACCCTAAAGGGTTTAGGGTTTAGGGTTTAGGGTTTAGGGTTTAGGGTTTAGGGTTTAGGGTTTAATCTCAACCCTCAGAGTTGACTTACACCGGCGAGTATTTGGGGAGTGCCACCATTCTCACTTGAACCGAAAACTAGCTTAGGACTTCGGGTGAGAATCCATAAGCTACCCTAAACCTCGGTCCTATACCCCAAATTCAGATTGCCCGAAGCCGCAAACCTGACATTTTTGGTGACTTGAGCTAGGCCCCGGGCTCTCGGACCAGCGGCGGAGGTGGTCCAGGAGGTGGGCGAGGGGCCTCAAAGAGGCAGAGGGTTTAGAGCTTGGTATGTTTTTAGGTTTAAGACGACCCAGAACCCTAAGACCTGAACCTAAACCCTAAGGATTCCTCGCTGGAACCGCCAAAGTCCTGTGCCCGTCGCCCTGAAGCAAGGCCTTGATAGCCATGAACCGAAACAGCGCAAATGACCCTGAAACCCCCTGCGCCCGAAACCCGAAACCCTCAGACCCTGAGTCCCTCAGCGTTGCAACCCTAACATCTTGAAGTTCCTAAGCCGGGTACAGAGGGCTTGTGGAAAACAACACATCGTCGTCTAGAGCTGTTTAGCACCAAATGTTGGGGTTTTCCCCGGAGCCCTACCAAAATTCGGGGGTTAATTTCAAAAAAACTTTGGGGTGCCCCTAAACCCTAAACCCTAAACCCTGAACCCTAAACCCTAAACCCTAAGCCCCCTAAAACCCCCAAAGCCCCGCCGCTTGGGGCCTCGAAGCCCATCTCTGCCTCCTCGCCTGTGGAGGCAGGGCCCTTGGGCCCTTCGCCGTACTCATCGGACCTGGGATTCCGAAGCTTTGTTTAGGGTTTAGGGTTTAGGGTTTAGGGATTTTGGGACCCTGTGAGCCCTAAACCCTGAAGTAGAACCCTCAAGAGCTGTGAACTTGTGTTCAGGGCCTACAGAGTCGATGGAGTTTAGGGTTTAGGTTTTAGGTAGGGGGACTAACTGGCTGTTTGGGGGAGGGCTCATGGAGGATTGTTAAGGACGCAAGCCGGGCGCTTTCAAGCCAAAGCCCAGCGACTTCGTGGCGTTCTCTGCCAGGTAGATGCCTGCGATGGGCGATGACCAGGCTTGTCGGTTGTGGGGGGTTGAATAAGGGACCCCACCAATGAAGGACCTAAACACTGTACATGCACCTAGCATCTGGTACATCTCTTCGAAAGCGCATTCTGAACAACTCCAAAGCTAAGCCCGCAAGAGGCAAAACGCCTACCCACCTAACGCCTAAACCGCAAACTGCGCATCTCCACACGAACCTCGTCATAATGCAGGATGGGAAAGCCTACAACTGCCAAGCTCACGTAGCGAAACCGAAGGGGTGCAACCCATATTATCAGCTCATTGAGGTATACCCTCCCCCGCAAAGCTGCTTACGTACAGTTCGCGATGGCGAGGACGAGCACGGCTTCTTCACAGACACAAACTGGTCACAAGTCTTCTTCATTCTGGGGAACCGGGGATGACAAAGTGCCAAACACCAAAAGGCTCTAATGGCGTGACCGGAAATAGGAACATAGCGTCCTTTACAGGGACTGTTTGAGGATCTCCACGCCCCGGATACACAACAACTGGAGGATCTCTTCCTAGTGGCTCATCGCCGCTCGAGAATGCCTTGTGAGATTGCCCGAAAGACTCCAGACCCTAACCATTACTTGGGAGACACCCCGCCATAAACCCTAAACCCATCATCAAACCTCATGCCTGCACCCAGAACTGCCCCCACGTAGCAGGCCGGCCTTTGCCGTAGAGTGTGCCGGCATTAGAGCCGGATAGGTCGAGTCCTTGGGGGGTTGAACCGCTGCGCACATGAGGTTCAGTTTTAGGGTTGAGGGCTTAATCACATCCCCTTGTATTAAACGTACCCCTAATGATAAAACCACTTTCCGGAAATCCTGCGGAAGCCGACCCGCCTTTTAACCCCATTCCGAATTCATTAGGGGGTGGGTTCAGGGCCTCGCAAACCTTCAAGCCAATCTAAACCCTATCCCAGAAGATGGCACATGGATTAAAACGCCCTCTAATATTAAAAACACATGTCGAGTTTCTATTGGTGGGGGGAGCCCCTGGTTTAATAATAGGGGAATGCGATTAGGGTTCAACATTAAGGGACACTAGGAGTTGAGGTGTGTCATGGAGTGTAGTTTGGGGTCGGGAGTTCAGTGTCCCAGCTCCGTCAACACGTCACATGCCCTAGAACAGAACCAGCCCTAGCTCGAAAGCCTCGCCCCTTCGCAAACATGAAGTTGTTGTTAAGTTATTGTGGGCCTTCGAGGGGTTTCACAAACTTCCAGACCCTCAAACCACAAGCCACCCCGCCCCCTTGGCACATCTGACCGTGTAACCTAAACCCTGAAGCCTAAAACCCTAAACCCTAAACCCTAAACCCCAAACCCTACAGAATTCAGGGCCATGGCTCGGAAGTCGTTCTCCGCGATGCCTTTTGCAGCTTCGGCGGTCGTGCCGTGGAAGAGCCAGTGCTCATTCACGTCCTGGGTAAGGTTTGGTCTTGGGTCTCGGGTCTCGGGTCTCGGGTCTCGGGTTTCGGGTTTCGGGTTTAGGGCAAAATCGAACCACTCAGGGTTTAGGGTTTAGGGTTCAGGTTTAACGAGGGGGAAGGAGGGTTAAGGTAAGCTGCCTGTAGTTTCATGCAGTTTTCTGCTTCCACGGGATGGGGATGTGGAAAGCTACCTGACCTTTGAGAAAACCTCCATACGGCCATGCAAAAGGGTTGGGGTTTAGGGTTTAGGGTTTAGGGTTTAGGGTTTAGGGTTTAGGGTTTAGGGTTTAGGGTTTAGGGTTTAGGGTTTAGGGTTTAGGGTTTAGGGTTTAGGGTTTAGGGTGCGGAGCTGCAGTTTGTATTCATGAATTGTGTGGGGTTGAAAGAAAGGGGTCAATGCGCCCGATAATACTTGGCTCAAGGATGGCCAAGCGCCAGTCCGAAAAAAGCTTTGTGTGCCTGGGGTTGGGTTGTAGGAACCTGTGGTTTCCTCTCCCTCCTCTTGTGGTAAACCTTAATCCTTTTGGTGTGTGTTTCGGTTCAGGGAGTTCATCTAGGCAGCCAAGGGTTGAGACTCTTCCTTTTCCCCTTTCGGTTGCCCCCGTATAGGGTTTAGGGTTTAGGGTTTAGGGTTTAGGGTTCAGGGTTCAGGGTTTAGGGTTTAGGGAATGACCTAGGAGCTGAATCCCTGAAGATCGAAGAGCTTCAGGTAAAGCAATCAAACACCAAAAGCAGTCCTAAAGCCATCAATACCAAACACTGAAAGCCTGAATCCCTCAAACCCTAAGCCTTAAACTCTAAGCCCCAAACGCTAAGCCCCCTACAGCCCTACAGCCCTAATCCTGAAGCCCCTGAACCCTAAGCCCTGAAAACCCTGAATTCCAACCCCAAACCCTAAACCCTAAACCCTGAACCCTAACCCTAAACCCTAAACCCTAAACCCTAAACCCTGAACCCTAAACCCTAAACCCTAAACCCCTGACCCCCCTAAGCCCCCCGAAGCTTCCACTTCACGCCCAGGGGCGCTGTCCAGCTGGGGTAGCGCCCCAATACCGCTCCTCAGGCTTGGACCCAAAGGTCTGGTTGGGTTTAGGGTTTAGGGTTTAGGGTTTAGGGTTTAGGGTTTAGGGTTTAGGGTTTAGGGTTTAGGGTTTAGGGTTGAGGGTTTAGGGTTTAGGGTTTAGGGTTTAGGGTTTAGGGTTTAGGGTTTAGGGTTTAGGGTTTAGGGTCTAGGGTTTAGGGTCTAGGAGTCTAGCGTTTAGGGTTTAGGGTTTAGGGTTTAGGCCTCGGTGGGCCCCTGGGAGTTTATGCCTTGCTGTGTGCTCCCTAAACCCTAAACGCTAGACTCCTAGACCCTAAACCCTAGACCCTAGACCCTAGGGTTCCCTAAACCCTAAACCCTAAACCCTAAACCCTGAACCCTAAACCCTAAACCCTAAACCCTTGCTCACTAAAAGGACTCCGAAGCGGACTCAGGGCTTCAGCGGTTTAAGGGTTTGATTTCAGGGTTTAGGGGTTGAGGGCTGAGGGTTTCGGGGTTGAGGGTTTAGGGTTTCGGGTTAGGGGTTTAGGGTTTAGGGTTTAGGGTTTAGGGTTTAGGGTTAGGGGTTCAGGGTTTTTAGGCCGAAGGGTTCAAGTTCGAGGGGGCGACCTCCGAGTGCAGTCGAGCAGCTTCTGCAGAACGTTCACCTTGGGTCGTCTCAAGGTTCCGACAACCCTCGGTGCTAAACCCTAAACCCTAAACCCTAAACCCTAAACCCTAAACCCTAAACCCTAAACCCTAAACCCTAAACCCTAAACCCTGAACCCTGAACCCTAAACCCTAAACGCTATACGCCCCAAAAGGGGTACGGGATGTAAAGACCAGTCTAGGCACTGACAAACTCTTGAACCCCAACACCCATCCAAACCCTATTCCCACAACCCGGAATCCTATAACCCCTAAACCCTGAACCCTAACGTAAACTCTATAAACCCTATAAACCCTCGAAACCCTGTAAACCCTATAAACCCTATCAACCCTAGAAACCCTCTAAACCCTGAACCCAAAAACACCTCAGCCATTGCGGCCTGCTCAAGCAACCAAGTCTCTGTGTGGGATCCGTCCGGAAGCGTCGGCTTCTCTCCATTCAGGCTCGCGCGGATCTTTTCCCGGGTCTCGCAATATTCCTTCGGGAAGTCTGACCCTAAACCCTAAACCCTAAACCCTAAACTCTAAACCCTAAACCCTAAACCCTAAACCCTAAACCCTAAACCCTAAACCCGCCCGAAAACCCTGAAGGGCGGGAAGCTGGCCGAATCCCTCTGGCCCCCTGGCCTCCTAAACCCTATACCCTAAACCCCAAACCCTAAACCCTACACCGCAAAACAGAAGCCCAACCCTGAAACGCCCCCAAACCTCGCAACCCTGTGTCCCAAAATAGACGACCCTAAGCCCGAAATCCAGCAGATGTTTGCATTCGGGGCCCGCCTAAACCCTAAACCCCAAAACTCAAAACCCTAAATCACCCGAAGGATGTACCCCCAAGAGGTTCCCTCAATATACTCCTAACATGGCCCCTAGATTCTGTTAGAAACTCTCCAAAAAAGGGTCCCCAAACCCAAGGGTACCCCCTTAGAAGTCCAAGGTAAAAAGTCCCAAGGGTTATATGCGCAACCGGATCCCTGAACCTATGAACCTAGTCTTGTGTAAGTGGTGGGCCGACCTCTGAACACCACCAAAATGCTGGGCCCTAACCCTTAAAAAACCCTACCCCTGAACCCTACACCCATCAGCTTGTGGGCTGAAGTAGGGTTTAGGGTTTAGGGTTTAGGGTTTAGGGTTTAGGGTTTAGGGTTTAGGGTTTCGAGTCCAGGCCACCCGAACCCCCCCCCCCCCCCATCCCGATGCTCGGGGCTAATGGCAGCCACGTAGCGCGCCACACCTGACAGGCTGCGCAGGGATGGCGTCGTGGGATGAGTCGCATATATCACTCTATCACTCTATCTTTTGAATAGATATACCTAAATACACAAATAAGTATATTTCTATGTGCAGGGTCTAGGGTTCAGTGTTCAGGGCTTAGGGTTCAGGGTTTGCTTCGGGGATTTTGGTCGGCGAAAATGCTGAAGTGCTGGAGGGATTATGGGCCTGGAGCGTGAGACTGAGTTCTGGCTGAAGTGGGGTTTAGGGTTTAGGGTTTAGGGTTTAGGGTTTAGGGTTTAGGGTTTTCAAGAGACAGAGATACCAGCACTAAGGCTCGGTTGGTGGCTGCTTCACGCTCATGCGTGGTAAGTCAAGTGCCCCATTTGTGCAAAGTCGGGGGGCCTTGTGGGGTTCATACTGGGGATCCTTCCGTTCTTGTGGTGTTTTTGAGCTACAGGGCTTGCAACCTAAACCCCAAAACCCTAGACCCTGAATTCTAAACCCTAAAACGTAAATCCTCAACCCTAAACCCTGAGACCCTAATTAAACCCTAAACCCTAAACCCTAAACCGTTTAACGACGTCGAGCCTGGTCGTTGAGCACCCGGTGCACTTCCTTAACCACGAAGCGATCCGGGATGGGTGCGCCGCGTCGATCACGCGTGTAGACCTGAAGGTGGGAACAGAAACCCTAAACCCTAAACCCTAAACCCTAATCCCTAAACCCTAAACCCTAAACCCTAAACCCTATACCCTAAACCCAACCCTAAGGAGGCGAAAAGGGCTTGGGTTGTTTGTTTTTCCAAGGTTCGCGTAGCACATGAGCTGACTCTCTGAGAAGACTGATGCGCATGACTCTGCTTCACAGTTTAGGGTTTGGGGTTAGAGTTTAGGGTTTTGGATGTTAGGTTTGGGAGCTTGTGGGGTTTCGGGTTTATGGCTTATGGGGTCGGCAGAGGGTCAGGGCTCGCGCAGGATGCACCGCCGGCCTTGCGATAGGTCCCATCCAGCATCCCTTGCATGGCTTTGACGACCTGCCAGCGGATGGTCGCGAGAGGTTTGAAGGGCCTAGATGCATGACTTTGCCAGGGTCTGAACGCGAGATACTCCAAAGCTCTAAGCCCGCTACATCCAAAACCCTTCACCCCGTAAACCTTACCTGAACCCTGAAACCCCTTAAACCCCTAAGCCCTAAACACTAAACCAACAACATCTCTGTTCTGAACCTGGAGGGCGTGGTCCAGGAGAGAGGGTCGATCCATCGGGTGAAAGGATCACTGTTGGTCTGAGCAAGTGTGATGCACGGAAACCTGGGAGTCTAGGGCTTGGGGTGGTTTAGGGTTTGGGGTTTAGGGTTTAGGGTTCAGGGTAGGTCTGGGCTTAGGGCTTAGAGGGTTCAGGAGGGTTTAAGCCCTCAGAAGGGCTGCGTTGGTGCGCTTATCGGGGTCTCCTTTGGGCAGCACATGGAAACTAGCAACTACACCCTGGCCTCCCTAACGCCGGAACCTTGAAGCCCTACACTCACTCCCATACACCTAAACCCTAAACCCTAAACCCTAAACCCTAAACCCTAAACCCTAAACCCTAAACCCTAAACCCTAAACCCTAAACCCTAAACCCTAAACCCTAAACCCTAACCTTAAACCCTAAACCCTAAACCCTAAACCCTAAACCCTAAACCCTAAACCCTAAACCCTAAACCCTAAACCCTAACCCTAAACCCCTAACCCTAAACCCTGAACCATGGAGCCCTGACTGGCGCCTCGGGCGGTTGAGGTTGGAAAGCGACGACGGTGGAGGCCTTCACAGGGCGGCGCTGGGTGTGATCGGAACAGGGACCCTTAACCTATACTCCCCTTAGAACCTTAATAAAAATATGATTGTCAATATCCTCTTGGTTTTTATATGAACAAAAATGCAAAAATTCCCAAGGGGGATAAATTAACCCCTGAGGCCTTAACCCCCCCCCCCTGCTTACAAGGGCCTTAACGCCTAAACCCCCTAAACCCCTAAACCCCTAAACCCTTAAACCCTTAAACCCTTAAAACCCTTAAAACCCTTAAAACCCTTAAGCCCTTAAACCCTTAAACCCTTAAACCCTGAAACCCTGAAACCCTGAAACCCTGAAACCCTTAAACCCTTAAACCCTACACCCTGAAACCCTGAAACCCTGAAACCCTGAAACCCTGAAACCCTGAAACCCTGAAACCCTTAAACCCATAAACCCTTAAACCCTTAAACCCTTAAACCCTTAAACCCTTAAACCCTTAAACCCTTAAACCCTTAAACCCTTAAACCCTTAAACCCTTCAACCCTTAAACCCTTAAACCCTTAAACCCTTAAACCCTTAAACCCTTAAACCCTTAAACCCTTAAACCCTTAAACCCTTAAACCCTTAAACCCTTAAACTAAACCCTACACCCTACACCCTACACGCTACACGCTACACCCTACACCCTAAACCCTAAACCCTAAACCCTAAACCCTAACCCCGAGCGAGATCTTCCGGGCCGAAGGAAGGGCGACAAAGAGCTCCTGGCCTTGCGCCCGCCCAGGCCACCTAAAGGGACACGGTTCTGGAGATGTTGGGGTTCTAGAGGGGTTTGGGAATTCGGGGGTTTAGGGTTTAGGGTTTAGGGTTTAGGGTTTAGGGTTTTATGCACCCCAGTTCCTTCGTAGCTCAAGCCTTTCGGAGGATTCTGAGAAGTCCCAGGATCTTTGGTGTAGTCCCATGGGATCTAAGAGTCTAAGAGCTGTGTCGGGATTTGGCAGTTCAAGAGGTTTGGGGTTTAGGGTTTAGGGCTCACAAGGATTAAACCCTAAACCCTAAACCCTAAACCCTAAACCCTAAACCCCAAACCCCTAAACCATCAACCTTAGTTTCTGTGTTTTCGGGCTTAGCTGGAGGCCGCTGGCACACTGCCGAGGTTGGCCCTCTCCCCTTAAACCTCTCCAAATACAACGCTCCGAAATAAGATGCCTATAGTGGGAAAGGTTTAGGGTTTAGGGTTTTAGGGTTTCAGGGTTTTAGGGGTTTAGGGCTTTAGGGTTTTAGGGTTTTAGGGGTTTAGGGTTTTAGGGCTTTAGGGTTTTAGGGATTTAGGGTTTTAGGGTTTTAGGCTTTAGGGTTTTAGGGTTTTAGGGTTTTAGGGTTTTAGGGTCTTAGGGTTTTAGGGTTTTAGGGTTTTGGGCTCATGTATAATCACCTTGCTACATCAGGCAAGGCAATGGTGTGGTAGCAAGGGCCGTGGGCATCTCGAGCTCCGGGGCAAGGGCCAAGATCCTATGTCCTGCGAAACCCACTTCACTCATTCAACTGCAAGCTCCGAAACCTTAAAACCCCCAAGCCCTAAACCCTAAACCCTAGACCCTAAACCCTAAACCCGAAACCCTAAACCTTAAAACCCCCAAACCCTAAACCACTACCATAGTGTAGCTCTAGTAAAGCTGAGGCGCTAGGTGCCACCTTCTCACAAAGCTTCGGCTGAGTTCTGAAACACCAGAAGCTGGGAAGCTGGAGCCACGCCCTATAAGACTTATAAAGCGCTTAAACCCACAAGCCCTTATAAGAAAACTCTTAAACCCACAAACCCTTAAACTCTTAAACCCACAAACCCTTACACGCTTAAACCCACAAACCCTTAAACTCTTAAACCCACAAACCCTTATAAACTCTAGATCCTGACCCCTAAACACCCCTGGAGCAGTGAGCCCCGGTGCATTGAGCTGAGCTGACGACCTTTGAGCCTCTGTCCCTTGCAAAAGGTCGCGATGTCCTGAAAGGTTGAGGGGCTAGGGTTAGGGTTTGGGGTTTGGGGTTTAGGGTTTGGGGTTTAGGGTTTAGGGTTTAGGGTTTGGGGTTTGGGGTCTGGGGTTTGGGGTTTTTCTTTGGCCTCAGGTCTTGATGTCCTCCTGGCTTATTTGAAGTTTTCGGCTTGGTTTAGGTCTCTACATCCACACGAAGTTCCCCCGCCCTTGCCGACAAAGAAAGTGCAACAAAAAGGCGCCGCCGCCCAACACATTCAGCGTTTAGGGCTCAAGGTTTCATGCTGTCGGGTTGACGGGGCTTAGGGTTTAGAACGCCCAGAATCTGGGCCGCCCAAAAATGGGCAGAGCGGTGAGGGGCGGGGAAGGCTGTGACTATGTAAGGCAGCCAGAGCCATGGACCACAGACCCACCACCCCCCCCGCCCCCCTCCCAACACAAAACAGAACACGAGCAACTCTTCAGCCAGAACGGGGGGGCACCGGGCACAGGGTTTGGGGAACCTAAACCGTAAACCGTAAACCGTAAACCGTAAACCCTAAACCCGAAACTCTAAACCCTAAACCCTAAACCCTATACCCTAAACCCTGAACCCCCAACCCTCAACCCTGTCAAACCTAACCTGGTACTCAGCGCCCCAGGTCACCGTGAAGGCTCTTGGCAACGAAAGCCCGAAACTAAGGCCTCAACGCTCTCAAGTCCCTCAAACCCCCAAAACCCCCCAAAATAGTTTTAATAATAATAAGCATCACCCATCATCATCATCACCATCATCATCACCATCATCATATGAATAATATTCATGATACTCATGGTGTGTGCTTTTAAAACCTGAAAGCCTGCTTGGCACCCAGGCCCAATCTGGTGGCAGCTGGTACAGCTTGCGCAGCCGCTCTTCAGCATCTCGGCCGCTCGGTTTCGAAACCCTAAACCCTAAACCCTAAACCCTAAACCCTAAACCCTAAAGGGGCTTCTGGGGGTCTTGCAGCGGCTCTTGGGGCTTGGGGTATCAAGCCCGAAGCCCTGAACCCTACACCCCTCAACCCTTGAAACCCTAAGCCTTGAAAACCAAAACCCTAAAACCCTATTCTAGGATTGAGCCTGTGCTGGGCAAACCTCCAAACCTCCGGTCCGGGGGCTTCGTTTGGGCTTAGGGATTGGGTGGAACTGGGGGGTTTAGGGTTTAGGGTTTAGGGTTTAGGGTTTAGGGTTTAGGGTTTAGGGTTTAGGGTTTAGGGTTTAGGGTTTAGGGTGGATGCGACCATATGAGGCCCCAGAAGCTCGAAGCCCTGCAGTGCCTCAGCCCTCTAAGGGTTTAGGGTGACAAGGGTTATAAGGGTTATGAGGGGCGATAAGGGCTATAAGGGGTTGTAAGGGTTATAAGGGTTTAGGGTTTGAGGGTTTGAAGGTTTTTAGGGGTTTAGTCCCGAAGCCGCGTTTAAGTCCCTAAGCCCTAAAGTCCTCAAGTAGGCTTGAAGACTTGAGAACTTTGGGCCGGTGAGTCTGGGAGCGGATACTCTGCCCTTGCTTGGGAGGAACGGGTTTAGGGTTTAGGGTTTAGGGTTTAGGGTTTAGGGTTTAGGGTTTTAGGGCTTCCCCCGGCTGGTGGGGGGGGGGGGGGGGTCGGGTCGACAGCACCTGGCGGGCGGTGTGCTGGTTTGAGTTTAAGGTTTGGCGAAACGTGTGATTCCGGCGCCTATTTTTCTTCATGGGGCTCCGAGAGCGCACCTCCCACAAGCAAAGTCCCGAATCCGAAAATCCGAAATACCCTAAACCCTAAACCCTAAACCCTAAACCCTAAACCCTAAACCCTAAACCCTAAACCCTAAACCCTGCACCCTTAACCCTAAACCCTGAACCCTGAACCCTTAACCCAACCTCATTTCCCTGGCTCCCTGAGGGGCCCGACCAGTTTCCTTCTGCCGGCCAGCCAAGGCTTGGGCAATCGCCTGCCTCAGAACCTGCGTTGAGGAACCCTAAGCCCTAAACCCTAAACCCTGAACCCTAAACCCTAAACCCTGAACCCTAAACCCTAAACCCTAAACCCTAAACCCTAAAGGGTTTCGGGTTTTAGGGTCCAGAAAAAATAGCACCTCAAGATGCACGGCTTTTGGGGTCCGAAGGCTTTCTAGGGTTTGGCCCTGAGGCCCTGGCCTCCCCCCACGAACCCCTAAGCCCTTCAGGGCTTTGGAACCTCTGAACCGGTGGGCCCCTGAATCTCTGAGCCCCCAGACCCTAAACCCTAAACCCTAAACCCTAAACCCTAAACCCTAAACCCTAAACCCTAAACCCTAAACCCCAAACCCTAAACCCTAAACCCTAAACCCCAAACCCCAACCGGCCTCCGGATCGTCCGACTTCAAGTTGGCCTGCAAGTCCCCTCGGCCCGCCGGGGCGGCCGGGGCCACCACTGTACCTACTGCTGGGCTTATGGACTTGGGACTGAAGGTTGAGGTTTAGGGTTTAGGGTTTAGGGTTTAGGGTTTAGGGTTTAGGGTTTAGGGTTTAGGGTTTAGGGTTTAGGGTTTAGAGTTTAGGGTTTCGGGTCATACCCTTCCATACCCTAAGCCCTCAAGCCTGTTGCCAAGAGCTTTGGGATTAGGGCTATGGAGTTAGCTATTCGGGTTCAGTGGTCGCGCTTCGACAGGGGTTTTCCGTTTCTTCAAACATGGCTTTGGCGCTTGGCTTTCGGGGTCTTGGGCCGTGTTGATTTAGGCCTGGAGTTTTGGGTGTTGCGGCTTCGGGGCTTGTTAGGGTTTAGGAGTTGGGTTTTGGGTTCACCCTAAACCCTAAACCCTAAACCCTAAACCCTAAACCCTAAACCCTAAACCCTAAACCCCCTGGTTGAGGCAGTATGGCTTTGGGTTTGGGGATGGGGGCAGGGACTCACGCGAAAAGGCTCCAAAGCAGCGACGGCAGAATGCGACAAACTGCGGGCACACATCCATATCTTGACTCCCAAGTCGCACACCTAAACCCTAAACCCCAAACCCTAAACCCTAAACCCTAAACCCCAAACCCTAAACCCTAAACCCCAAACCCGAACCCTAAACCGTTCGACCCTGAATTTTGGAAGGCCTTGAGCCCTGCAATGCCGGAGACCTAAAGGCTCTCCCCCACCGCCGGCGCCTGGAATCGGACCGCTGGACCTTGGGACCCCCCATCTGCTTCCACTCAGGGTTTAGGGTTTAGGGTTTAGGGTTTAGGGTTTAGGGTTAGGGTTTAGGGTTTAGGGTTTAGGGTTTAGGGTTTAGGGTTTAGGGTTTAGGGTTTAGGGTTTAGGGTTTAGGGTTTAGGGTTTAGGGTTTAGGGTCTAGGGTTTAGGGTTTAGGGTTTAGGGTTTAGGGTTTAGGGTTTAGGGTTTAGAGCCTACGAACTGTTGCCTGCTGCGGATTGGGATATCAAAGAAGGGAGCCTGACCCGCAAAAAGGGAAGGGAGGGTGCTTTACGATTGCATTGCCATCCTGGCTCGGCCTCGTCGTGGAGCGTTCAGAGGTTGCGAAGGGTTTAGGCTCAGGGCTTTGGGTCCGGGGGGTTGAGTTCTCAGCCTCTTGGTTGCCCAGTAACCATGTTGTAATAAGGGTACCCTTTTGTTGGGTCGGCTACCGTATAGGGGAACCTTGAACCAACAAAAGGGAGCCAGGTTTTTTTTGGGCATTTTTGGGTTTTTTTTTGGGTATGTTTTTGGGTTTAGGGTATGTTTTTTGGGCTTAGGGTATGTTTTTGGGTTTAGGGTTTTAGGGTTTTAGGGTTTTAGGTGTTTAGGTTTTTAGGGTCTTGGGGTTTTAGGGTTTTAGGGTTTTAGGGTTTAGGGTTTAGGGTTTAGGGTTTAGGGTTTAGGGTTTAGGGTTTAGGGTTTAGGGTTTAGGGTTTAGGGTTTAGGGTTTAGGGTTTAGGGTTTAGGGTTTAGAAAACCAAAAAAACACCCAAAAAAACCAAAAAATATACCCAAAAAGAACCCCCACCCCAACAAAAGCGCGAAGGGCACCACTGGGCTACCAAATTGTTGCTGCAGTGTCTTGGTGTGACGTTCTTCTTTGCACTGGGGGTGGGGGTGTTAAAAAAACATCGGAAGTTGGCTCGCCGGCCCAAGAGCCCAAGCCCACCTGAACGGTCTAGGGCTTATTAAGCGCGATCGTCTTGGGCTACTGGAGGGTCGATTCACTGAGGCATTATGCTACGCTTTAAACCGTATACACCTATAACCCTCTGCGACCTAGCCAGAAGCCCCCTGAAACCCTGAAGCCCTGGAACCCTGAAACCCTGAAACCCTGAAGCCCTGAAACCCTGAAACCCTGAAACCCTGAAAACCCTTAAAACCCTTAAACCCTAAACCCTTAAATCCTTAAACCCTTAAAGCCCTTAAACCCTTAAACCATAAACCCTAAAACCCTCCCTTTCCTTCAGAGCGGACACGGAGGACAACTGAGCCACGAAGGCGCAGTTTCAGGAGTTTAGGGTTTCGGGTTTCGAGTTTAGGGTTTCGGGTTTCGAGTTTAGGGTTTGGGGTTTAGGGTACGAGGCGTCGCAAAAGTTTTGCGGAAATCCCATCTTTTGCGTTCTTTTGCCCGGGCCCAATAGCCCTCAGACGGCAGCTGGAAGCCTAAGCCAAAACATCCAAACATCCCTGAAACTTTAGGGGCCTTGAGAACTTCGGATTTTTCACCCGAAGTCCCTAAACCCCTAAACCCCCCATGTCCTCATTCCCAACAACCCCTAAACCCCCAAAATCCTAAACTCCTATAAACTCCTAAATCCCTAAAACCCTCATTCCTAATTCCCTAACCTCGAAGCCCTAAACTCCCTAAACCCTGATACCCTGAACCCTAAACCCTAAACCCTAAACCCTAAACCCTAAACCCTAAACCCTAAACCTTCCCTGATGGGGCTCCCAGCGCTTGACTGGCATGGCTGGGCGGCTGAGCTGTCGTGCCATTGGAGCAGCCCATGGCTTCGAATTCCCACAGGTTTGTGGGTTGAGGGTGGTTTGGGGTTTAGGGTTTAGGGTTTGGGGTTTAGGGTTTAGGGTTTAGGGTTTGGGGTTTGGGGTTTGGGGTTTAGGGTTTGGGGTTTAGGGTTTGGGGTTTAGGGTTGAAAGGGTTCAGGGTTTGGGGACTTCGGGGTGGTTTGACGGCTTGCTTGCTGTGAGTCTTCTCGACGACGTGGGAGAGTTTTTTTGTTCATTTGCAACCCGAGGCCCCGAAGTAAACCGCCAACCGGCCACTCCGACCACGAAATTGCAGGGGCCTGTTCAAGATGAAAGGAACGAAGTAGACCCTAAACCCTAAACCCTAAACCCTATATCCTAAACCCTAAACCCTAAATCCTTTAAATTAAGCCCTGACCCCTAAACCTGAAAGTCCCAACCGTTAAACCCTAAACCCCGAAACCCTCAACCCCTTAACCTTCAACTCCTCAACCTTACAAAGCCCTGGAACCCTCAACCCCCAAACCTCAAAACCTGAAACCCTAAACACCGAAACCCCAAAAACGCCTCATCCCCTAGACCCTTGAACCTTAAAGCCCCAAAACCCTAAACCACTAAAACCCCTGCAGCCCCCAAGCCCGCCCCGAGCAAAAGCTTTAAAACCTCAACGCCCTAAACCTTCAAGCCCTAGACCCTGAACCCCTAAAAACCCTAAACCCTAAACCCCAAAACCCCTAAACCCTATACCACAAAAACACTAAAGCCCCCAAGCCCCCGAGCAGAAAGCTAAAACCCTAAACCTTCAAGCCCTAGACCCTCAACCCCTCTAAACCCCTAAACCCTAAACCCTAAAACCCCTAAACCCTAAATCACTAAACCACTAAAACCCTAAAGCCCCCAAGCCCGCCCAAAGCAAAAGCTAAAACCTTAACACCCTAAACCTTCAAGCCCTAAACCCTCAACCCCTCAACCCCCTAAACCCTAAACCCGAAAGCCCCTAAACCCGAAAACCCCTAACGCCGTAACCCCTAACCCCTAACCCCTTGACCCTAAACCCTAAACCCTCTTAGCTTGCCATAACACCTCGATTGAAGGACTGAGGCCTGAGTCCGCGGGGGACGCCCCGCAGCGAGCAACCCCTGTGGAGTCGAAGCCTGCACTTAGGGTTTAGGGTTTAGTGTTTAGGGTTTAGGGCTAGTGTTCAGGGTTTAGCGGTTTAGGGGTTTGGGAGTTTAGGGTTCAGCATGAGGGGGGACATCCCAACAGCGGGGGCTTGACTGATTGACTGACTAGGTCGGCGAGGCTGCGACCGACTGACTGGGTCGGTCGGTCGACGCACGAACAACAAAAGCCTAAACCCTAAACCCCAAACCCTAAACCCCCAAAAAAAGAAAGAATCCGCCCACACAAGAGACTAGCCCTAGACCTTAAAAACATCCCTGAAGCCCGAAACCTGTAGAAGCTTTATTCCCGAACTGACTAAATCAAACCCTACCTAAACCTTAAGCCCTAAGCCCTAAGCTCTAAACCCTAAACCCGGAACAGCCCAAAAGTGTTCTGGATTTCCAGGGCGGTGGCCTGATCTAGCGCGCGCCTGGGCTGCGCTGGCGCTCGAAGGCTGTTTACCGGCTTGGGGCTTGGGGTTTAGGGTTCAGGGCTTAGGGTTTGCAACTAGAACAGGGCTCCTTTGCAGCAGAAGGGGTTCGGATTGAAACTTGCATTTCGGGTCTTGAAAAGTGCTTGGGCATTGAGAGGTGAGCCCTGCACACCAAGCTCGAAAATGCATGTCATGCTCGGACAAGACGGATTCGATGGCTCTATGGGCCTATGGTGTAAAGGCATACCCTAACCCTAAACCTTGAACCTTGAACCCTAAACCCTAAACCCTAAACCCTAAACCCCAAATCCTAAACCCTAAACCCTGAAGGGATTACTCTGCAGACCCAGCGGCTGCTGGTCTCTGATCTGCTTCATCTTCTCGGCTCTTGAGGAGTACACCGTTTGCGATGCTCCTTGCGCTGCATCCTGCCCAGGTGCTGCTTGCGTTTAGGGTTTAGGGTTTAGGGCTTAGGGCTTAGGGTTTAGGGCTTAGGGTTTAGGGTTTAGGGCTTAGGGTTTAGGCCTATATACCCTGAAGCCCAAGACCCCAAAAGGCCCTAAAACCTCTAATTCCCGAAAAAAGGCCCGAAGCCCTAAGCACCTTAAAAACCCCAAAGCCCTAAAAGCCCCAAAAACCCTGAATCCTGACGCCCTAAGCCAAACAACCCTTGAACCTAAAACGTAATCCCTACGCCCTACATCCGAAACACCTCAAGCTTAAAACCTAAAATATAATCCCGAAGCCGCAAAAGGCCTAAGCCCTAATGCCCCAAAACCCAAAAACCCAAAACCCCTAAAACCCCAAAAAAACCCAAATACCCCCCTAGACCCTAATCCCTAGATCCTCAACCCTAGAAGTCAAAAACCCCACAAGAAAAACCCTACAACCCCCAAAACCTCAAGCGGTCCTTGTCCCCTTCGTCAGTGGCGACTGCAGGTGCCTCCAAGCTCCGCAACGCTAACCCAAACAGCGGCACAGGTTTAGGGTTTGGGGTTTCGGGTTTAGGGTTTGGGGTTTAGGGTACTCAGGGTTCATAAGGTCCATAGCCTTCATAGGGTTCAAGGGTTCAGTGGTATAGGGTTGATCGGGCTCATGGGGTTCGTAGGGTTCATAGGGTTGATAGGGTTTAGGGTTTAGGTTTAGGGCGCTTCGGGTTTGGGGCTTCTAGGCTCCGGCATTCGACTCCAAAACCCGAACCCCAAAATGCCCAGGACATGATTATGAGGCCTCTAGAATGTCAACCCCAAAATGCCTGAATGTCAGGCCCGTAAACCCTAAAGCCGAGAATGCCCAAAATAGTCATGAGGCTGACAACACTGAGTGCTCTCGGGCTTGGAGGGTTTCGGTTAGGGACCGATGAAATTATACATGAAATTTTGGGTAGTGCACTGTTAATTATGGAGATTCTACGGAGATAACGAAGCAAACTTGGGTAGGTTCCGGTTCGCATATGCGCGGACTATGCCGTATAGTACTGGAATTTGGCTTCTTCTTGCACTATTACTTGCAGGCACCCACACAGATAATGGCTGTCGGAGGCTGCCGCGCCTTGTCCTCCTCCTTGTCTTCCTTCTTGTCCATGCTGGCGCTGGCTTCGAAACGGTGCTGCGGCAAAGTACTGTCGCTGTCGGCCCTTGTCAGCGTTAACGCTTCTCTGTCGGAACCCTGGGTTCGATAAGTAATTTGTCTGAAGCCGACTTCAGCTATCAAGATATGGTTCAGCCTGCATGCTTGCTGCGGAACTTGGCACTTTGCATAAGTGCGGAGAGCTTTAACCGTGACGAGCCAGAGCGGTGGAATGTACAGCTCGCAGCGGATGCAACCTGGAATTACAGTGAAGCACCCTTTTGATCTTGCCTGTGCTGGGCTCTCTGCAAAGTGTCTACATGTCACGGACACAAAAAAACAGCTACTTTAGCCATTTAATCGTCGCAGTTCCTGATATCAAGATGTTTGTCAAGCCTGCACTCCGAAAGTAGGGTGCTGAGGTATGGCTTTCGTGACCGCCCCGCCCCCCCCCCCCCCCATCCCCAAAGAAACAAATTAAAACGACCAACGCAACGGCTTTTCCAAATCACCTGGGCTACAGCCTCAGCACAGTTGAACTTAGTCCCCAAATCTAGCAAACCATAGGGGAAGCCGGCACCTGCCGCCCAAACCCAACAAACCTTAGCAACCGGCCCAAAGCAGGAAAAAAGGTTCTGACAGAACTAACGTTTGGAACTGTCGCACCCTGTGAGCAAACCTTTTGCAAGTCTCGCTCGTAGGCCGTGCTCGGATCATTCTTTCAGTGATGGCTGAAGGTACATGCTCAGTTCTTTGTGGACCTCGGCGCTGGCAGAATGGTTTGCTCAGTCAATTGCACAGCGGATAAAGGCTACATTTTGAAGATAATTTGGCCTTTCTCGCAGCAAAAACACTTTTTTGACAGCATGTGTTGTAACGTCGGAACGAATGTAGCCTTCACGATAGCAAGGCTAGCATAGCATTGTTGCTATGTGCTTTTCAGCACTCATCATCTCAACCCCTAATGCAAACCCTGGCAAAAAAACAACAAAACTAACTGTCAACCACCTGCCCACCCCGCAAGCCTCACCCAAGCCCACCCGTTTTGGGATCAAGACAAGGTGCACATGAAGCCACCTTTCCAACCATGCAAATGAGCACTTGCGCCAATTCATTGGCCGACCTGCCCCCCCCCCCCCCTGCCCTGCCTGCCTGTTGACCGGTCCGGTGGGGAGGGGAAACGCCGAGTCACAGCCGCAGTAACCCAAGTCGGTGTTCGGTACAAAATTTCCAATCGCAAGGGCGATGGCCTTCTTGGTGTTTCTGTTGGCCGTTGTGCTCAGGCATGCCATGAAAATTTCCAGTCAGCCCGTTTTGATGATGCCACCGAAATTCTTTCTGAGCTTTCTGCAATCGATTTGGCATCATCTTCCAAAAGCCACTGAACAACTTGGGCAACCCAGTAGGGGAGGGGATTGTGGGGGGGGGGAGTCATGCGGACCGAAGTTTGTGCGATGACGGTGAAACCAGAGTATCCCAAGAATATCAAGAATCGTACTCTGGAGTCAGAGCATGCATTGCACATGTCAGCCAAGTGATATTTGGGGCAATTCCTTCAAAAAAGTGCGGTGTTCGGAGATAACTGTGGTACGTTATTGGTTCTTGCCTGAGGTGCCAGCTGGAGACGCATTGAGAGGATGGTCTTTGTCCAACTTCACCACCTTGAGCGAAGGAGGCCATAGGGGCCTTTGTCCCAAACTCGTCAGGTTTTTCCCCCCACGGATTGGAGTTTAGGGCTTAGAGTTATTTTGGGTTTAGCATCTAGGGTTTAGGGTTTCGGGTCCGTGTTCAAGGCTGCTGTTGCATTGATCTCACCACTTCGACAACCATGGCCTTATAGCCGGTCGCATTGTCAAAGATCCCGCTCCCTTATACTAAGAGTCCTTCATAGGAATTGTAATGGGGGGGGGGGGGTACTATAATCCCGATTATGAACTGTTTGTAGAAGGGGGAACATCCCAAGCCATCTCTGAAGTACTTTCCTGCCTCTGGGTACGGCATGGACTGCCAGCGGAACCGAGTCTTGAACTGGACCACGGAGGACACCTGACAGCCACCCAGGTGCAAGGCATGCTCCCAGGCGGTTGAGGGTTTAGGGTTTAGGGTTTAGGGTTTAGGGTTTAGGGTTTAGGGTTTAGGGTTTAGGGCCCAAACATGACCTGGTTCTGTCATTATGGCGGGTTTAGGGCTTCTGCTCTTAAACCCAGACTCTTGTCCTCATCAGCCCTAAGACTCGAAACCCTAAACCCTGACAGATCCCAGGCCCCACATTCCAAACCCTCATTCCGTGTCTAAATAAAGGTTAGGGCTTTCTGCAAGCACTCTCTGCAACAGCAGGCTCCACGCTAGTGTTTAGGGCTTAGGGTTTAGAGTTAGGGGCTAAGGGCTTAGGGGTTTCAAGTTTAAGTTTAAGTATTGGAGTTTGGGGTTTCGGCTTACTTGATTGAGGCGAGGGGCGGCAATGAAGGCACTCAGGAGCGCGATGAAGGCAGGAATGTGGCCATCAGCACGATGGAGGAGCACTCCGATCATGACCACCTGGGTCCCCGACCCAGGATTCGAGCAAACACACACACACACAAGTGAAGGTTGAGGGCTGAGAAGATCTCTCTGAGATCTCTGAGGTAGGGTCCAACTCGTACCTTCTGATTCCAGGTCCACGGGCAACTTTGGACAAGAGGCGGTTTGGGGTTTCGACTCTCGACTCGTGGGAATGCTCGAGGTTCCGTTGTGTAAAGCTTTGGGAGCATGAGTGGCTCGATTTGAGGGCCTCAGGAGTGGGGGTTGTAGAGGGTTCCGGGTTTACAGAGGGTTGAGGAACTCCTCTCACCCCGTGGCTGCCCGCACTGGCTCCGACACGGCCTGCTGCACGCCAGCCTTCAAACCTCCGTGCATATGCGCTGTGCGGCTTCTGACCCGTGAGACTCTGCCTCTTGCCTGCTCTTGCCCCTACCTGGCCTCCGCTTGGGCCTGTCAGCTCTTCCTTCAGCTGGCCTCCACTTGGGTCCACCAAGCTCCTCTCGATGCGGCCTGTGGGCATGAATGGTGCCGGGCCGCCGGAGACTCGTGCTTATGTCGGGGCTTCGCGGCCGACCATGCTCTGGCTTGATTTCATGGTGGACGCATCGGGTGCCGGACGCAGGGCGCGTTGCCGAAGAGCAGACCGACCTATCTTCATCCCGACAGCCGCACCCTTACAATAATCCGAAGACTGTCTGAGAGATGCCAGGGTTTTAACTGTTAGGATTGAAGGTCGAGGGCTTTCTCAATCAGGGTTTAAGGCTTAAGGCGTAGGACTTTGGCTTTACGTAGAACCCTAAACCCCAAAACCCTAAACCCTTTTGCATCCGGACTCCCGTAAAACCCTAAACCCTAAACCCTGAACCCTAGTCCTAAATATCAGGGCCTGGGTTGCTGTGGGGTGTAAGCTGCCTAAACCCTAAACCCGAAACCCCAAACCCCAAACCCCAGAACCTAAACCCTAAACCCTAAACCCTAAAGGGCCCTGGATGTCAAGCAAGAGAGGGCTGAGGCTTGTGCCGCGTAGAAGACCTGAGCGGGCAGACGGGGTGCAGGTCACAGGAGCCCAAAAAAGCAGCGCCTAATCGCTTCAAGGACTGTATGGTTTGGGTTTAGGGTTTAGGGTTTAGGGTTTAGGGTTTAGGGGTTTAGGGGTTTAGGGGTTTAGGGGTTTAGGGGTTTAGGGGTTTAGGGGTTTAGGGGTTTAGGGGTTTAGGGGTTTAGGGGTTTAGGGGTTTAGGGGTTTAGGGGTTTAGGGGTTTAGGGGTTTAGGGGTTAAGGGGTTTAGGGGTTTAGGGGTTTAGGGGTTTAGGGGTTTAGGGGTTTAGGGGTTTAGGGGTTTAGGGGTTTAGGGGTTTAGGGGTTTAGGGGTTTAGGATCTAGGGTTCCCCCCCCTTCCCCCCCAAGAAAACACCATACTCCCAACATCGCGACCTCTTCGGCGTGGTTCCTTTGGTTTAACAGGGCTTGACACGCAATCTCGGCGCGAAACCTGGGAACCGAAACCCCAGAATCACTGCCACGCATCCCCGAAATACTAAACTCTGAAACCGAAACCCTAAACATCCCTAAGCCCTAATTAAACCCCAAAGCCAGTTGCTGCACAAGCAAAATCTACATCTTCGATTCCTGAGACCTCGGCCTCCCCCAACTACTTTTTCTTGAGGCGAGCAACAACAAAACAAAACGTAGCGAGCGGAAGAAACGCAAACTCCCCCGTGGCCCACGGAACGCCCCGAGCATTCATCCAGGGGGCCATGCAGTACCTGGGATGTGTCAGGTTGGTGGGTCTGCTAGGCTGCGCAGGTTACGCACATGTACTTGGGAGACCTTGAAGTACGGCTCCACTCTGGAGAATCTTTGTTCTAGGTCGATGTTTTTGGGTCACCCGCCTAGCCACAGTTTAGGGTTCAGGGTACCACCCCTTGGGGCATCTCTTGGGGATCGCGCGGCCACCTTGTAAGTCAACTGTGGGCCCGATTGTCGCCCGGTTGGGGTCCACATCCCTGTTTGAGCCTCGTTCAAGTAGAACCCCGTTGCAATTTCTCCTCCTAAAGCCCTAGACTTTGTTTTGGGTGCAATCCGCATGGAATTGATGCAACCTTGGAAGATGGACAGCAAAACGCATCATAGAGCCCACTCCATGAGAAAAGCGCAGAAGCCCGAAACCCTATACCCTAAACCCCAAACCCTAAACCCAAAACCCAAAACCCTAAACCCCAAAAGCCGGAAACTCAAGCTGCTGCAAGTGCTGAAGCCACAGCTGCATGATGTATCCGACATTAATCCGAAGCCCTCCTGTCCATCCAGCGAGACCCCTCCTAAGTTTAGGGTTTAGGGTTTAGGGTTTCGGGTTTAGGGTTTAGGGTTTGGGGTTTAGGGTTTAGGGTTTCGGGTCTAGGGTTTAGGGTTTTAAGGGGTTAGGTAGCCTCCAGCCAGCCAAGGTGCAGCAGCTGCGTCAAAGCCTCCACCCAGAAGACTCCCCCCAGATCAGG